GCGACACAGTGGTCCCTGCGAGAAGCAGAGAGCTCTAATTAAAATAGCAGCAGCTGTCCTGCCTCCCACCCTGCTGGGTGGAGTTGACTGTTACACTAGCACTCCTTAACTCTCTCTCTGTGTGTGTGTTTGTGTCTCTCTCTCTGTGTGTGTCTCTCTCTCTGTGTGTGTCTCTCTCTCTGTGTGTGTGTCTCTCTCTGTGTGTGTGTCTCTCTCTCTGTGTGTGTGTCTCTCTCTCTCTGTGTGTGTGTCTCTCTCTCTGTGTGTGTGTGTGTCTGTGTCTGTGTGTCTCTCTCTGTGTGTGTCTGTCTGTCTCTGTGTGTGTGCATGTGACTGAAGGTCGCGAAGAGGGAAGAGTTCACGATTGGTATTCTTATCAAAACCCCCAAGTCTATTAAAACTATCATAAATTAACTCTAAATACATAATTAACATAATTCGATTCTAGGCATGCTTCATACTCAGACTGTTAACAAAGCATTTTAACACTAAAATAACTTGCAGGCCTTTTACCTTTTTGCTCCCTGTGGCAATGTGTTTTCTACTCCAATACAGATTTTGGTCCCCAAAATCAAATGGCTGACTGCGATGAAAGCCTCTACTGTCAACATGACTCCAATATCAAATGGTTAGCGAAAGATACAGAAAAAAAAAAAAAAATTTAAACCCTGTGCACAGCAGTGTCTAGACCCAGGTGCTGGTTTTGGCAGGAACAACTAGTATATAGGGAATAGTGTGCCATTTGGAATGTACCCATGGTACGTGTTGGAGATGCACAGATTCTTCACAATAAACAGATCTTCACAATGCCTAGAGAGAACAATTATTTCACCTATCAATGTGCTGTAATAATTCTTATTCTGTGCAGAATGTTTCTTGAACATACACAGACAGATGAGCCCAAATACCCCCAACGGCGCTAATATATTTGTAATCATTTATTTCCCTCAACCTCCTTTTGCCATTGAAATGCTCAGTCTGATTGTGTGGGCATATTGATAGAAATGTTTATATATTTACATACACAGCCCTGATTGGCGGATAGGATCGTCTAGACTAGAGCCTACCCTGCTTACCCCTTCAAAGTAGGAGGATACATATGCAAATAAAAGGTGACTGGTCATTGGTCAGAATAATCAGATCAGATTGTGATGTCATGATCTGGGCCAAAAACTCCATCCCACCTGAACAGGCTAAAATTCCAAGATCTTTTTTCAACCAGGTCTTACACAAAAAGGCATTATCATAATTTTCACAATTTCAGAGTGTTATTTTGACCTCATAGTGTGGAAATATCTTTCTTTTTTTTACTGGAAAATCCCTTTTTTGACTGCACTGTCCCTTTAACATTTTGTGGTTTGTGATGAATAGACTCATAGTGTATTGAAACTCAATTGATAAACTAAGTTGTCCATAATTCTGAGGATCTCTCAATGGAAGTCTGTGTTTCACGCTGGAATAGGGCTGTGCGATATTGCCAAAAATCATATCACACTATTTTTCACAAGCTACGTTTGCTCCAAGTACATTTAGCTAGCTAGCTGGCTAGCTAGCCAACTAGCAATTAGCATTAGCGGCTAACATTATTTATTTTACCCCCAACTTGCTAAGAAAAGACAAACTAGCTGTTTTCAGATAGCAAGATACACAAACTAATAGTGTGATTATAGAACATTTGTGGATTTATATTAAGAAGCAAAGTGGAAAGCAGCATCATTGTCACCATCTGCAGCATTGCATCTGCTCTGCAGCATTGACAATGCAGACTGTGACTCGTGGTAGTGCAAAAACGTATCTCCTTGAGTGACAGGAGGCGGGGCTTGGTGTGTGTGGAGGGAGAGAGACGACTCAATTAGAAAACAGAGTAAACTATAAAAACGGACATTACACACAGCGGAGTGGCGTAACATATTTAACAAACCAAACATTAAAATACCGTTATACAAGATAAAGTATAAACCCAAACCGATCCGTGCATCAATACCGGTATATAGTAGAATACGGCATACCGCCCAGCCCTATGATGGTAGTGCAGCACCTCTCTCTCCCTCCCTCGCTCTCTGACTGAGTCTTAAACACAGTTACTATACCACAGCTAAGTGTCGAACTAATGGGGACTAGCCTCTGTCAGACACTTTTCCACTCCTTCTCTCCACAAGTTCATTTACAGGTCCTCTTAGCCAGCAGCCTCACTAAGGGCCTATTCAATCAAACATGGTCATGCCACTCAATTCCCCTTTTTCCTGTCACCTACACACGCATGCATGCACACACACACACACTCTCTCTTTCGCCCTAGCCTTTTAGGGGCCTTAAGGGAAATATAGTTGGGCGTAGAGAAAATGTTGCAGTTTTAAAGTTTGGTGCAATTCAACACATTTGCTATGGTTGGAAAGAAGATTTGACAATTTTCTAACTAATTTCATGCAGTTCTACTCATTTTGCCATGGGGTGGAGAGAAAAATGTGCAGTTTTTAATATATCTGAGAGAGTGACTAACAAAATCAAGGGGGCCCGCTGTAATTCGCATGATTATTTGCAGTTTTAAAGCTAATTTCCTGCAATTCTACACATTTTGCCGTAGGGTCAATTGGATGAAGTTATGGATTTGTATTTTCCTCAGCCCAAGCGTTGTCACTAAAACCACTGATACAGCAATAACTGTTTTAAACCAATCCTAATAAAACGTTCTAGCAATGTTTCTGAGGTTGTGGTTTGGACCAGATCCCTGCACTTCACACCTCTATTTTCATATCCTCATTTTCTCTCTAGCCGCGTCTCTATCTTGCTACCTCTCTTGAGACATTTCTCTGCCTCTCCTGTCCTATCTTCCCTTTATCAACCCATCCAATTTCTCCTATCTCTTCCTTTATTTCCCCCCTTAGTTTCTCTCCTTTCTCCCTCTCAACCCATCCACCCACCCTCTCTTTTCCTCTCTTTCGCTTCCTACTTTTCTCAATTTCTCAACCCATCCAGTTGCTACCTCTAAGGTCACTCTCTTCCTCTTTTCCCTTGTTCCCCCCCCTCCACGCTCATGGAGTGATTCTCTCCCCCTCCTTTTTATCGGTTGGAATTTATGGACCTCTTTTGGGCTTTTAATGACTCTTCTCACGGCGTGACGGGAATGAAAATCTCTCTCCCTCCCAGGATCTCTTTCTTCCCCTCTTGCTCTCTCTCTCCTTCCTCCTTCCCTCTCTCTTTCGCTCTTTCCATGTCTCTCTCCGCCTTAAAAAAGAAATAGAAAATAAAAACATTGAGGGCCGCCTCAGAAAGGTCATGGATACCATCCCTCCCGCTTGTTCTCTCTACCTCCTCTCTCTTTTCTCTCCCTCTCCTGCCCCCTTCATGTTTACTGTGTGACAGCTGCAGGGTTTTAATCAAAACAGGAGTGAAACACTACGCTGGGCTGGGCAGAAATAAACAGAAAGAGGGAGGAGAGGAAGGGGGGATATTTAAGCGTGCATCATGTCATAGGGCCTGACGGCATTATGCAAGGTGAAGAGTTTTGTGAGCAGGGTCATAAAACCCAGCCATCCATCAAAACGTTGGAATAATGTTGGCTTGTTATTGTTGGGAGGGCTAAATACCATTGTGGTTTGGGAAGCATCCATCCCATTTGTCTCAGCCAAATAATGACCTGTGTGTACCTGTTTGCTGAATGGACGATTGGGTGATTTGATAAATTATGTGAGTTGGACGGCGGAATCGGTTGGCTCTGGAGTGGGTGGCTTTTTCAAGGTGTGGCAGCAGGACCAAATTCCCTTCTCTCTTCCCTACTCTCACACACACAACATAGGTGCACAGGGTGTGTGTATCAAGTAATCATTTACGATGATTGCAGTTACATGTATTTTAGTGTATGTGTGAGAGAGTAGATGTTTGGCTTGGCGTGTGCTTTTTCATAAAAAAATGCCTCTCGAAATGTTTGAAATTGAATGAAATGCTGAGCATGAGAAGTAACCACCTCTTTCTCTGTGGTTGCCTCTTTTTAAAGCGGTAATCAGAAGTAGAAACAATAACAAAGCAGCCTCCCCGCCCCTGGTACGGTGAAAAGCTGAGGGACGGGGCTGGAGAAATGTAACCACTCTAAAATTCATAGACAGAGATATGGATGCAAGTGAACTAAGCTCATGAGGCATTTATAAGTTAGATTCTTAAAGTATCAATGGATACATATAATTAATTTATAAATCCAAAAATGGATGTAGCAACTGCTTATTGCCCCTTTAAAGGTGTTGCAGCAGGACCAAGTTTCCATTGAAGATGTTTTCTCTGCCCTCTTTCTACCCACACACACACACACACACACACGCGCAGCGTACGTGCACAGGGCTGTTTGATAAGAAAGCAGAAGATTTGATTAGTTTCCATGACAGCCACTGGATTTTTCCCAGACCTCAACACACATGAATAGATGGAATGCAATGGTAGCCTGCTCCCTGTTTGTGCTATAATGTCAACTCCGTGCCATTCCAAACCTGACATGTTTGGCATGAGATGGAGTAACATGATGACACAAACAGACTGGGACCCAGGCTAATGCAATGGTACATCCAGAGCGAGTTTTAAATACTGCAACAATAGGGATTATTGCATTGCATGCAATTACTTTTCAGTCTAAGCGATAGAGAGAAACTAGCGGAACTAGCTAGCATTATAAAACTGGAAAGCAAAGCTTAGACTTTAGCTAGAGAGCAGAGATGAACATGTTCCTCTGTTTATTGGAGGCAGCCCGTGCCTCCTCAGACAGTTGGCAGATATGGTAATTATAATAATTGCACTCATGTATAATGGAACAGGCCAGGGTATTCCTGGCGCGCCGCCTACGGATGTGTGTCAAGAATTCAGTCAGGACAATTGCCTTTAAGACCTTTTCTAGTGTAAGTCTAGATAAATGGTTTGCTGGTGTGATCTTTCCCCTAAAACTTTCTACAACACTGAAACACAGCATTAGAAATGACCACCTGTCTCTCTTCCTCTGCCCTCTCTCTCCCTCAGAGCGGATCAGGCTGCGCTATGGGGAGCTGTGCGGGGAGCTGCTGTGTGTGGAGCTGGACAAAGAGCGCCAGGGCCTGGGCCTGAGTCTGGCAGGCAACCGCGACCGCTCCTGCCTCAGCATATTCGTGGTGGGCATCAGTCCCGGGGGCCCCGCCGCCAAAAACGGAAGCATCCGTGTTGGGGACGAGCTGCTGGAGGTGAGGGGGGCCACACACACACACACACACACACACCAGTGCGAACTCACACATGCCTATTCTCTCACACACATTCACACACGTGTGTGAAAAGACAGTCACGCACAGATGAGCAAATTGCAGGGGTTGATTAGGTGGACAAGGTAGTGTAAGCGGCCATGTTGGATAGTCTGCCCTTGTCCTTTCCCTCTCTTCCTTCCCTCTTTCTCTCTCCCATCCCCTGCGCATGCATTATTTCTTTTGTGTACGTCACAGCCCTTTCTTTCTCTCCCTCGCTCTCTCGCCTCCCACCCTCTCTCCCTCCCACTTCCTTCCTTCCCTGTAATAGTCTAATCCTGTTGAGCCCTTGAGGGAGGAAATGAAATGGCTCCATCACTGTCACTGTTGATGCTGAGGCCAGTGCTCCTCTCAGGCCACATAATCCATCACAACAAAACACAATGGTGTATGTGCGTGTGCGAATAGGCTGTGTGCGTTTTTGCCTCAAAGAAATGACAGGGCAAAAGCTGCCCAAGTGGTTAACGCAAAAAAAATTGCCTCTATACTTTCTTATACTGTATCTGTTTCTCCACTTTTCAGTTTGTCTTCTTTTCTCGCTCTTTCGTCTCTCTTCCTTTCTGTCTTTCTGGGAAGATTCCGAAAGCATTTGCTCTTGTTGCCTCAATTAATGAAAATAACTTTGAAAGTCTCCTTTTTGAGTGTGGACCTACTACTAATTAATCTAAGCAGGGAATAGCCATGCAAAATAGATGTGATTCATTCTTATGGTTTGATTAGAGTCGTTGCTGGGTTTGAGCTCTGGGACTGGCAGAGTAAGCGTCTAATGAATGCAATGAATTATAAATGTGTCAGTTTGGAGCTGTAGTGTTTGTCGGTTTCTAAACGCTTGTCTTAGATGATCTTCCACAAACATTGATACTAACATGGAAGAGCCTGAATTGGAGCTGATGTGTTGTCAGCTTACCTTAGTCTGTTATTTTGACCTCTTCCTTTTCTTTCTTCATTCCATCATATCACTTTCTCCTCCCTCCATCAGCCCTCTGTTTTTTTTCTCTCCATTCTTCCCACCCTCTCTGTCATGCTAGCGCTGCTCATTACAACAATGTCACTGCCACCATAAAAAATGTATGTGGCCTGCCACAAGTAGCGGCAGCGGAGGGAGGGAGACCCGACCCACTGCAACACACAGGCATATGCACACACACACACACACACACACACACACACAGACACACACAAGCAGTCTCAGGCTGATGCGCACATACACACAGTGCCTTCGGAAACAATTCAGACTTTCTCCACATTTTGTTACGTTACAGCCTTATTCTAAAATTGATTAAATAAATATAAATCCTCAGCAATCTACACACAATACCCTTAATGACAAAGCGAAAACAGGTTGTTAGACATTTTTGCAAATTTATTACAAATAAAAAACAGAGATACCTTATTTTTCATAATTATTCAGACCCTTTGCTATGAGACTCGAAGTTGAGCTCAGGTGCATCCTGTTTCCATTGATCATTCTTGTTTCTACAACTTGATTGGAGTCCACCTGTGGTAAATTCTATTGATTGGACATGATTTGGAAAGGCACACACCTGTCTATATAAGGTCCCACAGTTGACAGTGCATGTCAGAGCAAAAACCAAGCCATGAGGTGAACACAGTGGCCTCCATCCATTCTTAAATGGAAGAAGTTTGGAACCACCAAGACTCTTCCTAGAGCTGGCAGCCCGACCAAACTGAGCAATCGGGGGAGAAGGGCCTTGGTCAGGGAGGTGACCAAGAACCCGATGGTCACTCTGACAGAGCTCTAGAGTTCCTGTGTGGAGATGGGAGAACCTTCCAGAAGGACAACCATCTCTGCAGCACTCCACCAATCAGGCCTTTATGGTAGAGTGGCCAGACGGAAGCCACTCTTCAGTAAAAGGCACATGACAGCCCGCTTGGTGTTTGCCAAAAGGCACCTAAGGACTCTCAGACCATGAGAAACAAGATTCTCTGGTCTGATGAAACCAAGATTGAACTCTTTGGCCTTAATGCCAAGTGTCACGTCTGGAGGAAACCTGACACCATCCCTACGGTGAAGCATGGTGGTGGCAGCATCATGCTGTGGGGATGTTTTTCAGCGGCAGGGACTGGGAGACTAGTCTGGATCGAGGGAAAGATTAATGGAGCAAAGTACAGAGATCCTTGATGAAAACCTGCTCCAGAGCACTCAGGACCTCAGACTGGGGCGAAGATTCACCTTCCAACAGGACAATGACCCTAAGCACACAGCCAACCCTAAGCACACAGCCATGACAACGCAGGAGTGGCATCGGGACAAGTCTCTGAATGTCCTTGAGTGGCCCAGCCAGAGCCCGGACTTGAACCCGATCGAACATCTCTGGAGAGACCTGAAAATAGCTGTGCAGCAACGCTCCCCATCCAACCTGCCAGAGCTTGAGAGGATCTGCAGAGAAGAATGGGAGAAACTCCCCAAATACAGGTGTGCCAAGCTTGTAGCGTCATACCCAAGAAGAATCAAGGCTGTAGTCACTGCCAAAGGTGCTTTAACAAAGTACTGAGTAAAGGGTCTGAATACTGTTGTTTTTTATGAATTAGCAACAATTTATAAAAACCTGTTTTTGCATTGTCATTATGGAGTATTGTGTGTAGATTGATGAGGAAAATAAACAATTTAGTCAATTTTAGAATAAGGCGTAACGTAACGTAACAAAATGTGGAAAAAGTCAAGGGGTCTGAATACTTTCTGAAGGCACTGTACTGTAAATACAGAGAAACACACAGTCACAGGCTGTTACACACATTACACACACACACACAGACATAAATACACACACATAGTTCGTCATAGGCAGAAATGCACACACACACACACACACACGCACGTACACTCCCTCACTGATGAACACTGATACTGTCACCCCACACTAAAACCCTCACAAACAAGGCATACCGTGTCTCTAAGCCCCAGTCAGGATATGTGCTATTCCACCAAAGCAAGGTGTTGGGGCTGTGGCCTGGCCATTTGTATCTGTGTATCTGCACAGTGCTGAATTGCCTATTGATTTAACATTTAGAAGTAGCGGATACGACAATGTGCTCATTTGAGTAGCAGGCAAGTGTGGATTGTAGGGGCTAGCAGGCGAGCTCAATGACCTTTCAGTAACGTCTGTCTCAATTAGGGGTGGGGGTGTGTGTGTGTGCCCACATCAGTAATCATGTGCTAACGGCTGCTGCCACTAAACACTGTTGTCACACTTGAGCGGAGGCATCATCATGTCTTCATCGTTGCCATCAAGAGGATTACTGTGTGGGGTGTTTGTTTGCTGCACACGTGTGTATTTGCTTACAGGGTGTATTTGTATATACCTGCATGTGTTCATGCATATTTGTGTGTTTATGTTGCTGTGTGTTTGTCAAAGAGATAAAGAAATTAAATCCATCCCTTATCCAATAAGAAATCATAGTTTTCTGTTGAAAACGTTTTGTTACGTTGTGCCATAATGAACATGACACTGATTGTAGTTAAACTCTCTGCTTCTCTCCTCCCATCAGATCAACAACCAGGTCCTGTATGGCCGCAGCCACCTGAACGCCTCAGCCATCATTAAGAGCGCTTCATCCAAGGTCAAGATTATCCTCATCAGGTAAGGCTAGTCAGCCAACCCTGCGACCAAGGGCGTCAACGCCTATTCAAACGAAGGGGACACCTGAAATCAATAGTTATTTTGTTCATTAATAAAGACACACTTAGGCTATCCTGATCACAGTCAACACAAATATATTTTATAGAAGGCTAAGAATATAATAAAATATAACAGAATAAAATGGAACCGCTGTCATATAAAAAAAAGTTATATTTTCAAACAGCCGAAGTCAAGCCCATGCTTTTTTGATCCACGTTTAATCTCTTTCCTTCCCTTGCTCCGCTTTGTTAGGGAGCAGGCGTAGGGTCTTACATTGAGAGTATCTTCATCATGATACCGATGGAAAATAATAGCAATCTATATTTTCAAAAGCATGTGAGTCTTGCGTTTGTATTTCACAACCTCCGTGGGCTTTATGTGATCTAGCAAAATAATGGCCTACACTTGATTTAGGCTACATTAGCCTATTGCATGCTAAACGTTTCTGATCAATGATAGATGTGCAAACAAATAGATGAGCTATACCACTTCCTCTTATTTGCCCAGCCAGAGAATTAACCAAATATACAGACGGAGATTCAGTGAAACAAAATCACATTCATTGAGTCAGAAGCTTTTGGTCGGGAGTAGGCCTAGGCAACTAAGCGACTGAGAGTGAAAAGGAAAATAATCCACTTGGTAAGCTACATAACATGCTGGCAACATTTTGGCCACTAAACAGTCTCCATATAAACTCAGCAAAAAAAGAAACGTCCCTTTTTCAGGACCCTGTCTTTCAAAGATAATTCGTAAAATTCCAAATAACTTCACAGATCTTCATTGTAAAGGGTTTAAACACTGTTTCCCATGCTTGTTCAATGAACCATAATTAATTAATGAACATGCACCTGTGGAACGGTCGTTAAGACACTAACAGCTTACAGACGGTAGGCAATTAAGGTCACAGTCATGAAAACTTAGGACACTAAAGAGGCCTTTATACTGACTCTGAAAAACACCAAAAGAAAGATGCCCAGGGTCCCTGCTCATCTGCGTGAACGTGCCTTAGGCATGCTGCAAGGAGGCATGAGGACTGCAGATGTGGCCAGGACAATAAATTGCAATGTCCGTACTGTGAGACGCCTAAGACAGCGCTACAGGGAGACAGGACGGACAGCTGATCGTCCTCGCAGTGGCAGACCACGTGTAACAACACCTGCACAGGATCGATATATCCGAACATCACACCTGCGGGACAGGTACAGGATGGCAACAACAATGTGTTACACCAGGAATGCACAATCCCTCCATCAGTGCTCAGACTGTCTGCAATAGGCTGAGAGAGGCTAGACTGAGGGCTTGTAGGCCTGTTGTAAGGCAGGTCCTCACCAGACATCACCGGCAACAACGTCACCTATGGGCACAAACCCACCGTCGCTGGACCAGACAGGACTGGCAAAAAGTGCTCTTCACTGACGAGTCACGGTTTTGTCTCACCAGGGGTGATGGTCGGATTCGCGTTTATCGTCAAAGGAATGAGCGTTACACCGAGGCCTGTACTCTGGAGCGGGATTGATTTGGAGGTGGAGGGTCCGTCATGGTCTGGGGCGGTTTGTCACAGCATCATCGGACTGAGCTTGTTGTCATTGCAGGCAATCTCAACGCTGTACGTTACAGGGAAGACATCCTCCTCCCTCATGTGGTACCCTTCCTGCAGGCTCATTCTGACATGACCCTCCAGCATGACAGTGCCACCAGCCATACTGCTCGTTCTGTGCGTGATTTCCTGCAAGACAGGAATGTCAGTGTTTTGCCATGGCCAGCGAAGAGCCCGGATCTCAAGCCCATTGAGCACGTCTGGGACCTGTTGGATCGGAGGGTGAGGGCTAGGGCCATTCCCCCCAGAAATGTCCAGGAACTTGCAGGTGTCTTGGTGGAAGAGTGGGGTAACATCTCAAAGCAAGAACTGGCAAATCTGGTGCAGTCCATGAGGACGGGATGCACTGCAGTACTTAATGCAGCTGGTGGCCACACCAGATACTGACAGTTACTTTTGATTTTGACCCCCCTTTGTTCAGGGACACATTATTCAATTTATATTAGTCACATGTCTGTGGAACTTGTTCAGTTTGTCTCAGTTGTTGAATCTTATGTTCATACAAATATTTACACATGTTAAGTTTGCTGAAAATAAACGCAGTTGACAGTGAGAGGACGTTTCTTTTTTTGCTGAGTTTATATACTTCCATTCATTTTTTTCAACTGGTACCGGGGGACCTTCGGACGAGTCTTGTGAAGCCTGTGGGCATCGTAGAGCAAAACAGCCAACATGTACGTGTTCGTGAGAGTCAGAGGGGTCATATAAGTGTGTAGCCCAAACTGTTCGGATGCTACAGACAGAAGTTGGCAGATCAGCTGTACTGACTTCAGACGAGTTCCAAGATGTGAGTCCCAAAATCGTTGTGTTCATGAGCGTCTCATCTTTCCATAGAGGGGTCATAACCTGTCAGATGCTACAGACGATTTTGTGAGAAGACCGGTTTTTGGGATGTCTCGTGGTCTTACAAACACCGCTCTAGCTCTGTCACCTTTCACCGCAGATGCGGTTGATTGAGACGCATCCAATGCAAAAAAACATATCTCTATCTTAAACTGACAGATTTCTATGGGAATTATTTTATTTTGCTAGTTAGATTTCCACGGGCGCGCGGACATCGACTCTAGGGGGATAAGTCAAAACTGTAACTAGGCCACTCAGGAACATTCAATGTTGTCTTGGTAAGCAACTTCAGTGTATATTTGGCCTTGAGTTTTAGGTTATTGTCCTGGTGAAAGGTGGATTTGTCTCCCAGTGTCTGTTGGAAAACAGACTGAACAAGGTTTTCCTCTATGATTTTGCCTGTGCTTAGCTCTATTCCTTTTTTTTGGGTCTTTTTTTGTTTTGAGAACTCCCTAGCCCTTGCCGATGACGAGCATATCCATAACATGATGCAGCTACCACCATGCTTGAAAATATGAAGAGTGGTACTCAGTGATGTGTTGGATTTGCCCCAAACAATGCTTTGTATTCAGGACAAAAAGAGTACTTTAGTACCTTTTTCCAAACAGGATACATGTTTTGGAATATTTTTTCTGTACAGACTACCTTCTTTTCACAAGATTATCTGGTCTGATGAAACCAAGATTGAACTCTTTGGCCTGAATGTCAAGTGTCACGTCTGGAGGAAACCTAGCACCATCCCTACGGTGAAGCATGGTGGTGGCAGCGTCATGATGTGGGGTTGTTTTTCAGTGGCAGGGACTGGGAGACTTGTCAGGATCGAGGGAAAGATGAACGGAGCAAAGTACACAGAGATCCTTGATGAAAACCTGCTCCAGAGCGCTCAGGACCTCAGACTGGGGCGAAGGTTCACCTATCAACAGGACAACGACCCTAAGCTCACAGCCAAGACAACGCAGGAGTGGATTCAGGACAAGTCTTTGAATGTCCTTGAGTGGCCCAGCCAGAGCCCGGACTTGAACCCGATCGAACATCTCTGGAGAGACCTGAAAATAGCTGTTTTATTTGTAATACATTTGCAAAAATTTCTAAAAACCTGTTTTTGCTTTGTCATTATGGGGTATTGTGTGTAGATTGATGATACATTTTTTTTTTTTAGAAGAAGGCTGTAATGTAACTAAATGTGGAAAAAGTCAAGGGGTCTGAATACTTTCCGAATGCACTGTAGTTATCGCACTACATTGTCCATGTACTTTTTGGCTTGCCATAACAGGCTAAGCATCACCACTGAGGTAACTCCATTCAACTAAAGCAGTCATCTTAACAAAATAAAAAAGTAGTCATAGCAACAAAATAGTTCAGCATTCCTTCACCGTTTTTTACCGTTTAACTCCCACAAGCATTCCAGCACAGGCTTCTTCTTGAAACAGAGATGAATGAGTTCATTTTTTGCTTGACTACCTTAACAAGATGGCTTGTGACGCAGGTAGAGAAAATTTGGAAGTCACTCCGACGTACCATTATACAACACAAAAGTATTGAACAAATCTGATGTTTTATGGAGACATTGCTCTCTAAATGGAGACATGGCTCAATAGAAGAAGAAAAAAAAAAGCTTTCTCTTCAAATAAATCATGTGTAATTCTATTGACGATAACTTTTACTGCATCGGCAAGGGTTACAAGGGGAATCGAAATGCCATTGTTTTGAGGCAGTTGGCTGATGTAAAAAATTGCACCCCAATTGTTTCTGCTTACAAATCTGAAGTGTCTGTGTGTTGAGTTATCATTTTAATTAAATGAAGGGAGAGGGAGAGAAAGCCTTTGTTTATACTCCCTTTGAGCGAGTGAGCAAAGTTATGCTATATTGGTACCATTATTTCTCAGTGTACAAGCTGTCGAATACGGGTGCGAACAGTACTAGAGGAAAATTGTACCTCCTTTCTTTCTTTCCTCCTCCGCAGTCATGCCAAATACCCCTCCACTCTATAGAAATAAGATATTGTACCCTTCAGGGGGACATTGTTAGAACCAATTTAACATTTGAAGGCTATTTTCTCCCTCAGCCAACTTTGACAGAATGCATATGTAACGCTCTGACAAGACCATTAGGCTGGCGGCACCATCGCTCTCCGTCGTCTATTGCCACTATTACCCAGGGAAGGCAAATGAACCCCACTCGTGATGATGACCTCTGTGTAATTTGGGGAATTTGCGTCTTATCGGATCATGTGGGAGAGAGGGAGAGGAGAATGTAGGGAAAAGGAGAGGATGAGGGAAGGAGAAAGGGAGAAGTGGAGTCTCATTAACTGGGCTTCAATATCCGGCCACTCAAACACCAGCTTTGAAGCCAGCCGCTGACTTACTACATCCCAAATCGCAACCTATTTCCTATATAGTGCACTATTTTTGAACAGGGCCCACAGGGCTCTGGTCAAAAGTAGTGCACTATATAGGGAATAGGGTGGCATTTGAAACGCAGAACTGACTGCACTCGCTCTGGTCCGTCTTATTACTCATTTATTTCTTGCTCTACCGTTCCCTCTCGACCGCTCCCACTCTACCTCCCGCTATTATTTTTGCTCTCTCACTACCTCTCCTTCTCTCAGAAAGCCTCCTTCACTCTACCTAGCTGTCTTTATTCCTCCCTCTCGCCATAGCCGTCCCCCTCTCTCAAACCTTCTGTGTCTTGTCTTAATCTCTCTCGCAAACTCTCTCTCCCATCCATCCCTTTCTTTGCCTCTTCCATCTCACCCCCACCCCCCTCTCACTTCTGCCTGCCTAGTGCCTAATCATCTCTTGGGGGAGCAAGGAGCACACAAAGCACGACGGCGACGCAGCACTTAATTTCCTCCCCATGCCACGCGCCTATTCTCGCCATCCTTAAGTCCCTTTAATTGACCACAGTGGGCCAGAGCCCAGTCACCTGTGTTCTCCACACATATTAAAACACACTGGCGGGAGGGAGAGAGGGAGGCCTAGGCTGGAGTCTAGGGCCCATATCCATAAAGTGTCTCAGAGTAGGAGTGCTGGTCCCCCGTCTATGTAATTTTATTCACTGTGCTTTACAAGGCGAAACTGATCCTAGATCAGCACTCTGTGACGTGTTGTGAATACGGGCCAAGGGAAGTGCAAAATGTGAACGACAGACATGGCATCAGTGAGCAGCACATCCATTATTTCTGAGCTGCTGAAGGAAATAAGGCTGCGGAAAAGATAACAACATGCTGATTTATGATTCACCAATGTGAGGTTTTCTGTTGAAGGGTCTGGCCACGTGTGGACCGCTGACTGCTATGCAGCTACTTTGGCTGACAACTAAAACATCACATATAGCAAGCATGAAATGAGTATTTGGGGTGTCCTTTATATTCCACGGAATTGACACATCCATGATGACACTTCATGGAACACGACAGTGCTGTCATTTTGAGCTTGTGGTTATCGGCGCCGCTTTCGACCGCGTCTGTTAAGATATGCGTCTCATGCCAATGGCAGAGTAAAATAATGGGTGTTTTTTTGACAGCAACAAGGAAAGTCTGTGTCCCAAATGACACCCTATTCCATATGTATTGACAATCCAGAGTTCCAATGCGGCAATTGTTTGCTAGCGGAGGACTACAGGAATGAGTTGGCTATGCTTAGAAAACAAATATCAATTATGCGCAAACTTATGTAAAAACGCAAATGAGAAGTTTCTCGTTCTCCACTCCTATGGCAGGACGCCGCTCGGGCCTAGTGGATGTTTCCCTGCCTTGTCATCTGTCCCTATCCGAATGGCCTGTGCCACCTGGAACGTGCCTGCCAAGGAAGTAGTCTCCATCTGTTTCTCCTCCGCTATCCTGTAGTAAAGTAGACGGAGAACAGTAATAAGAGTGTTCCAATCAGCGCAGGTCCCAATGTCACAAGTCGTGGAAACCGAAGGCAGCGGCATGCTGCTAAGCGAACGGGAGTGATTGCGAGAGGTTCGGAGCAGATTGACATACAGTGCATTCGGAAAGTATTCAGACCCCTTGACTTTTTCCACATTTTGTTGCGTTACAGCCTTATTCTAAAATTGATTAAATTGTTTTTTTTGACTCATCAATCTACACGCAATACCCCATAATGACAAAGCAAAAACTGGTTTTTAAATATTTTTTTAAAAACGGAAATATCATATTTACATAAGTATTCAGACTTTATTGAAGCACCTTTGGCAGAGATTACAGCCTTGAGTCTTCTTGTGTATGACTCTACAAGATTGGCACACCTGTATTTGGGGAGTTTCTCCCATTCTTCTCTGCAGATCCTCTCAAGCTCTGTCAGGTTGGATGGGGAGCGTCGCTGCACAGCTATTTTCAGGTCTCTCCAGAGATGTTAGATCGGGTTCAAGTCTGGGCTCTGTCTGGGCCAGTCAAAGACATTGAGACAAGATTCTCTGGTCTGATGAAACCAAGATTGAACTCTTTGGCCTGAATGCCAAGCGTCATGTCTGGAGGAAACCTGGCACCATCCCTAAGGTGAAGCATGGTTGTGGCAGCATCATGCTGTGGGGATGTTTTTCAGCAGCAGGGACTGGGAGACTAGTCAGGATCGAGGGAAAGATGAACGGAGCAAAGTACAGAGAGATCCTTGATGAAAACCTGCTCCAGAGCACTGAGGACCTCAGACTGGGGCGAAGGTTTAATTTCCAACAGTACAACAACCCTAAGCACACAGCCAAGACAATGCATGAGTGGCTTCGGGACAAGTCTCTGAACGCTCCCTATCCAACCTGACAGAGCTTGAGAGGATCTGCAGAGAAGAATGGGAGAAACTCCCCAAATTCAGGTGTGCCTAGCTTGTCTGAATACTTATCTAAATGTGATATTTCCGTTTTTGCTCAAATTTCTAATAATCTGTTTTTCCTTTGTCATTATGGGGTATTGTGTGTAGATTGATGAGTCAAGGGGTCTGAATCCTTTCCAAATGCACTGTATGTGTTATGGCTTTACACCCCCTGCTATATTGTGGATAAAGAGTTACCTGTCTAACAGAACACATATGGTGTTCTTTAATGGAAACCTATCCAACATAATCCAGGTAGAATCAGGAATTCCCCAGGGCAGCTGTCTAGGCCCCTTACTTTTTTCAATCTTTACTAACGACATGCCACTGGCTTTGAGTAAAGCCAGTGAGTCTTTGTATGTGGGACAAATCATTCACTAAACCCTCAACCTCAACTAGTTGAGGTGAATAAACTGCTTGGAGTAACCCTGGATTGTAAACTGTCATGTTCAAAACATATTGATACAACAGTAGCTAAGATAGGGAGAAGTCTGTCCATAATAATCATTTTTTGTCGCACCTGGACTAATGTTCAGTCATGTGGTCAGGTGCCACAAAGAGGGACTTATGAAAATTGCAATTGGCTCAGAACAGGGCAGCACGGCTTGCCCTTAGATGTACACAGGGAGCTAACATTAATAATGTGCATGTCAATCTCTTCTGGCTCAAAGTGGAGGAGAGATTGACTTCATCACAACTTGTATTTGTGAGAGGCATTGACATGTTGAATGCACCGAGCTGTCTGTTTGAACTACTGGCACACAACTCGGACAAACATGCATACCCCACAAGACATGCCACCAGAGGTCTCTTCACAGTCTCCAAGTCCAGAACAGACTTTGGGAGGCGCACAGTACTACATAGAGCCATGACTACATGGAACTCTCTATTCCACATCAAGTAACACATGCAAGCAGTAAAATTTTATTTAAAAAACTGATAAAAATACATCTTATGGAACAGCGGGCACTCTGAAGCAACACAAACATAGACACATGCATACAAACACCCGATAACATATGCACTATACACACACTTACACATTAATTTTGTGTTGTAGATAGGTCCCTACTCTACTCCCACATGAGGGCACACAATGTGTTGTGAATTAATTGTAATGTTTTAAAAAATGTATAACTGCCTTAATTTTGCTAGACCCCAGGAATAGAGGGATCCATAATAAATACCAATACAAATGTAGTGCACTACTTTTCACCAGAACCCTATGCCCCCAGCTGTGCGGTAGCGCTTCACCACCGGACCTTATGATAACTCAGCTATACAGCTGATATCTGCTGGACTGTTCCTTTTTACGGTACTACATCCTGTTTATGTTTAGCCTCAGCCCAAACATGGTTAGTTTATTGTTGTTTCGGGTATTTCTAATTGTACTATATCACTGTAGACCCCCCAGCCTAGCTAAACCTGCCTTAGTTAGCTCCTTTGTCCCTCCGCCCATACACTCAGAGACCGACTCAATTGATGCCTCTAGAGATACTATCTCTTTCATTGTTACCCAACGCTTAGGTTTACCTCCACTCATATCCTTCCATATCCTTGTCTGTACATAATGCCCTGAATCTTTTCTATAACACCCGGAAATATGCCCCCTTTATTCTCTGTACCCACGCACTAGAAGACCAGTTCTTAAAGCCTTTAGCCGTATCCTTATTCTAGTCCTCCTCTGTTCCTCTGGTGATGTAGAGGCTAACCCAGGGCCTGTAGCCCCCAGTATCACTCCTACTCCCCAGGAGCTATCATTTGATGACTTCTGTAATCGCAAAAGTCTTGGTTTCTTGCACATAAATATCAGAAGTCTACTTCCTAAGTTTGAGTTATTCACTGCGTTAGCACACTCTGCCAACCCTGATGTTCTAGCAGTGTCTGAATCCTGGCTCAGGAAGGCCACCAAAAATTCTGAAATTTCCATCCCCAACTATAACATTTTCCGTCTAGATAGAACTGCCAAAGGGGGTGGAGTTGCAATCTACTGTAGAGATAGCCTGCAGAGCTCTATCATACTATCCAGGTCTGTGCCCAAACAGTTTGAGCTTCTACTTCTAAAAATCCACCTTTCCAGAAATAAGTCTCTCACTGTTGCCGCTTGCTACAGACCCCCCTCAGCCCCCAGCTGTGCCCTGGACACCATATGTGAATTGATTGCCCCCCATTTATCCTCTGAGTTTGTACTGCTTGGTGACCTAAATTGGGATATGCTTAATACCCCAGCCATCCTACAATCCAAGCTAGATGCCCTCAACCTCACGCAAATTATCAACGAACCTACCAGGTACAACCCTAAATCCTTAAACATGGGTACCCTCATAGATATCATCCTGACTAACATACCCTCTAAATACACCTCAGCTGTCTTCAACCAGGATCTCAGCGATCACTGCCTTATTGCCTGCGTCCGTAACGGGTCTGCGGTCAAACGACCACCCCTCATCACTGTCAAACGCTCCCTAAAACACTTTAGCGAGGAGGCCTTCCTAATTGACCTGGCCCAGGTATCCTGGATGGATATAGATCTCATTCCGTCAGTAGAGGATGCCTGGTTGTTCCTTAAAAGTAATTTCCTCTCAATCTTAAATAAACATGCCCCATTCAAAAAATACAGAACTAAGAACCGATATAGCCCCTGGTTCTCCTAAGACTTGACTGCCCTTGACCAGCACAAAAACATCCTGTGGCGTACAGCATTAGCATCAAATAGCCCCCGCGATATGCAACTTTTCAGGGAAGTTAGGAACCAATATACACAAGCAGTCAGGAAAGCAAAGGCTAACTTTTTCAAACAGAAATTTGCATCCTGTAGCACTAACTCCAAAAAGTTTTGGGACACTGTAAAGTCCATGGAGAATAAGAGCACTTCCTCCCAGCTGCCCACTGCACTGAGGCTAGGAAACACTATCACCACCGATAAATCTACAATAATCGAGAATTTCAACAAGCATTTTGCTACAGCTGGCCATGCTTTCCATCTGGCTACCACTAACCCGGCCACCAACTCTGCACCCTCTGCTGCAACTTGCCCATGCCCCCCCCCGCTTCTCCTTCACACAAATTCAGACAGCTGATGTTTTGAAAGCGCTGCAAAATCTGGACCCCTACAAATCAGCTGGGCTAGACAATCTGGACCCTTTCTTTCTAAAACTAGCCGCCGAAATTGTCGCAACCCCTATTACTAGTCTGTTCAACCTCTCTTTCATAACGTCTGAGATCCCCAGAGATTGGAAAGCTGCCGCGGTCATCCCCCTCTTCAAAGGGGGTGACACTCTAGATCCAAACTGCTACAGACCTATATCCATCCTGCCCTGCCTTTCGAAAGTATTCGAAAGCCAAGTTAACAAACAGATCACCGACCATTTCGAATACCACCGTACCTTCTCCGCTATGCAATCCGGTTTCCGAGCTGGTCACGGGTGCACTTCAGCCACGCTCAAGGTCCTAAACAATATTATAACCACGATTGATAATAGACAGTACTGTGCAGCCGTCTTCATCGACCTGGCCAAGGCTTTCGACTCTGTCAACCACCGCATTCTTATTGGCAGACTAAATAGCCTTGGTTTCTCAAATGACTGCCTCGCCTGGTTCACCAACTACTTCTCAGATAGAGTTCAGTGTGTCAAATCGGAGGGCCTGTTGTCTGGACCTATGGCAGTCTCTATGGGGGTGCCACAGGGTTCAATTCTTGGGCCGACACTTTTCTCCGTGTATATCAATGATGTCGCTCTTGCTGCTGGTGACTCTCAGATCCACCTCTACGCAGACGACACCATTTTGTATACATCTGGCCCTTCATTGGACACTGTGTTAACAAACCTCCAAACGAGCTTCAATGCCATACAACAATCCTTCAGTAGCCTTCAACTGCTCTTAAACACTAGTAAAACTAAATGCATGCTTTTCAATCGAACGCTGCTAGCACCCGCCCACCCGACTAGAATCACCACTCTCGACGGGTCTGACCTAGAGTATGTGGACAACTACAAATATCTAGGTGTCTGGTTAGACTGTAAACTCAACTTCCAGACTCACATAAAGAATCTCCAATCCAAAGTTAAATCTAGAATCGGCTTCCTATTTCGCAACAAAGCCTCCTTCACTCATGCTGCCAAACATGCCCTCGTAAAACTGACTATCCTACCGATCCTTGACTTCGGCGATGTCATTTACAAAATAGCCTCCAACACTCTACTCAGCAAATTGGATGTAGTCTATCACAGTGCCATCCGTTTTGTCTCCAAAGCCCCATACACTACCCACCACTGTGACCTGTACGCTCTTGTTGGCTGGTCCTCATTACATGTTCGTCGTCAAACCCACTGGCTCCAGGCCATCTATAAATCACTGCTAGGCAAATCCCCGCCTTATCTTAGCTCATTGGTCACCATAGCAGCACCCACCCGTAGTCTGCGCTCCAGCAGGTATATCTCACTGGTCATTCCCAAAGCCAACACCTCCTTTGGCCGCCATTCCTTCCAGTTCTCTGCTGCCAATGACTGGAACGAATTGCAAAAATCTCTGAAGCTGGAGACTCTTATCTCCCTCAATAACTTTAAGCATCAGTTGTCAGAGCACCTTACCGATCACTGCACCTGTACACAGCCCATCTGAAATTAGCCCACCCAACTACCTCATCCCTATATTGTTATTTATTTTGCTCTTTTGCACCCCAGTATCTCTATTTGCACATCATCTCTTGCACATCTAGCATTCCAGTGTTAATACTATTGTAATTATTCTGCACTATAGCCTATTTATTGCCTTACCTCCATAACTTGCTACATTTGCACACACTGTATATATATTTTCTGTTGTATTTCTGACTTTATGTTTTTTTTACCCCATATGTAACTCTGTGTTGTTTTTATTGCACTACTTTGCTTTATCTTGGCCAGGTCGCAGTTGTAAATGAGAAGCTGTTCTCAACTGGCTTACCTGGTTAAATAAAGGTGAAATAAAAAAAAATAAAAAAAATGTGCCCTGGTCAAAATTAGTGGCCGATATAGGGAATAGGGTGCCATTTGGGATGCAGCCATAGTGTCGCTGTCTGACCCACTCAGGTCCCAAGTGCAGGAGGGTAAGTTACCACGGTAGAGCGAACAGGAAGGGACCGCCTTGGTCATACTGTTGACATTCAGAGGACTTTGTCCTTCATTGTCCGTGAATGCTGTTGAATGGTCATAGACAGGCACAGATCTCAGTTAATCACATGCATGCCCCACAGACACACATACACATTTAGGTTTATAGGGATTTTCCAGCCTCTTCTGTCAGGTTGGTTTTCAGATTTATTGGAATGCACTTTTTTTTCTATCCCACTGGTCGTGTGCACTCTGCTGTCCAGTATTCGGCATTTGTTTTCTTCCGTTTGTTTGGGGGAAAATCAATTTTTCACAGTAGCTGTGATTCGATTGCAGCCAATTCACAGTAGGAGCAGAATAGCTCAGTACGTGTTAAGGGGTTTGGTGACAAACTTGTTTAAAATGTTGGTAGAAGGGGAGGGGTGGCTCAAATGCTATATTGAGTCAAAGGTTGTTTGGCAATGAGCGTTGGGACGTCGAAAGGATAGGTCTCCTCGTAGCCGTATCGCCATGGAAACATCAGCGGCGCTGGCCAGGCTGCGGACAGGAAGAAAAAGGGCCGGTCGGGAACGCAATAGTAAAGTATCAGCCCACCCAGCGCCTGTTCGCGTATCCGGCCTCGCATTGGAGTGAGTTAGTGCTGTGACGCAAGTGAGCGTGTTCGTTTACACACACACACACACACACACGCGCAAGCAACAAGTCCTACGACTTTGTCAGCTTACTGTGGATTGGCCACAGTTTCTTATTTTAGTTGTGGGAGAACGAGGATGTGTGGGGATAAGGCAACACAAGCAACAGATTGATTGATTCATAAATTCCCACCTTGGTGGAAGAGGGGAAAAAAGCATAAACTGTAATTGGAAAAGGGTCACTTACTGGGCGTAGACAATAACAGTGGAGAGAGGGAGGAAGAGAGCGGGGGAGAGGGAGGTAGATGAATGGAGTGAGAGAGGTGAAGAAAGGACCGGAGTATCGAGAGAGAGAGCGGGGAGAGGGATAGAGAGAGGCGAAGACGGGGAAAGAAGGGAGGGGGAAGAGAGAGGAGGGTACCTGTACGTCTGAAGCGGGGGAACCACCACCCATAACCACTTGAGGGGTGAACAGTAAGGATAGCTGAATATCATCACTGACAGCTGGTCTGGGCTAGCTGAGGACCATCCTTGTGGATTGCAGAAGCCAGAAGCTCCTGCTTTTCTTGGCTGTTCGCTGTGGCTGCCAGTCTGACCGTCTGTCTGTCTATCAGAGAGAGGAGAGGACAAAGTGAAGATATAACCCGGGACAGATTTATGAGTGCATCCCTGCCGGTTTTGACTGAAACCAGATAGAAGGGGAGATGACAAGAAAGGAGAGGAGATGAGAGGAAAAGAAAGAGACCCTAGAACGGTAGAGGGGAGAGGTCAAGAGAAGGCCCAAAGACAAAGGAAAGGCGAAGAAAGGAGTATCCTCATCTTCTTCCTCTTCTTTATCTCTGTGGGTCTCTAACCTACGCGTACTGAACCACTCATTTGACTGACAGTTCATGACCTCTTTGTGACTCTGCCTCCAGTAACATACTGTATCACATGGCAAAGACGGAACTATCCTATAGGATGACATCGGAAGAAATGCCTGCACTCACTCTCTTCTGCTGCACAGGGTGAACCACTTTTACCTCTCAACAGTCCATAGCATCTGCCGGCCCCATTTCGCTCCCCACCCCTTCCCGTTGGCCCTAATCCTTCGATGTTTGCCGATCTTAATGCTCTGTATGGGTATAAGCAGTGTAATGGTTGAGCGTCCACCATATTGCTTCCACCTTACAGACATAGGGCCACGGTGAAGGGTTAGGGAGAACATTTGGACTGGCTGTGCATCTCTTTATACTTTACCCTGTTCATGTGTATTTATGGTAATTGAAACTAAGACACAGATGGTTAGACTTCATAGAAAGTTCATAAATCAAGCAACTCATGTCAATTACCACATGGGCTTTTTGCATATGCCCTGCGAATCCATTAAGGTGTCTCCTCTACCAGCTGCAGACCATTTGTAACCTGATTGCTTATTGCCGAATCCACTCAGTTCCATTTGCATACAATAGGGAGTGATTGTTGATTCGTCTTCCCCTCCCTCATTCCGTGTCTCTCCGTCGCTCACCTCGGGACTCTGTCATATCTGTCGGCTTTGATGTTTTTTGTGTCCTCGTCTCGCAGTAGTCCCCCGAGGTGGCGTGAACAAACTGTTTTGTTTCCCTTGTTTGCTGTTCCAAGTGTACACACACCACCAGGCTCGGTATTGTCATTTCAACAGCTGTCTGGAAAAGTGCGCGCTGGTGGCAGCAGTGGAATTCACGCGCACTGGTGGCAACGGTGGAGCATTTTTCTCCACGTAAATGACTGGCTTCGTCAGCTCCTGCCGGGAGATTCCATTACGGCACAAACAGAGTGAATGAAAGAGATTGAACGAAAGTAAAGACAAAAGATATGCAAAATAGGTCCCATGTAGGCAGTGAGGAAAGGAAGATGAAAAAGAACTGGACAATGCTGGCCTGTTGAGGGATATTTGTGTTGCTGCTTGCTTTTTCCCTGAAGTAACTTACTTGACTTTCATAGCACATTGACTGTAATGATATCATTTCATCAACTAATTATCTTTGCTATTGGTAACTGATACAGGGTAATACCTATAGGTATCGTTAACAATATAGATGGGTTGAATACGTTTACCAAAACTAATGTAGCTGATTATTATAATAATTTGTGTCAAGCCACCTCAAGTACACTGTTGCTGTGTTGTTTTCAATGGAGACTATTCTCTTCAGAGAAAGAGTGAGCATAAAGTCTACTCTAACCATGCAATGTTGAGCATGCCTATTGTAAGGAGGTTGTATTGGGCTCAGGTGGTGCTATCGCAGCCGTTGAGTCCAAATCACCTGATGTGAGAGATGATGAATGTCTAGCCTGGTTGGCTCTCTCAATCCCAAACTGAGCATTACTCTGTCTGTCTTTCTCCGTCGTAGCTTTCATTTGTCCCCTGCCGATGTTACCAGAATCACAGGAGCTAACACCCTCAACCCCCGAGGCACTTCTGTAAATCTGAAATGATTGGATAGGTATAAGCATATAGGCCTACATGTATAAAGGCTAATTCAGTGTCCACAGTCGCAGAGCCGGCGGTCCATTGTGACATACTGTATCTACGCGGCTCTGAGACCACCGTCCGTGGGGGACCCACAGCCCAACCGTGCACCTCCCCAAAATTCCCAACCAATGTGGCTCCACTTAAGTGGCTTCTATTAATTTGAATGTGGTGACGTTTGGAGAAATTGCTTGAGCCACGCTGAGATTCTGAGAAAGTATAAAACCCAACAGTCCCAATATTCTAGAACGCGGCTGTGCGGACGCTTACACATTTTGGACTCCACTGATAAGCACTTAAGTCATCATTCCACAAGTGGATAGGTGCAAGTTGTCCATTTTGAACTGGGCCAGCTGTGTTTACCGGAGTCGTATTCACTAGGCACAAAACAGAAGAAAACTGACTGAAACAGGGAAGGCCTACCTGAACCTGTCCAATAAGAAACTCTTCCGTTTTTTGCTACAGTATGAATAATGAATAGGACCCTGGCTTCCTTTCCCATTGATGCTTCCTTCATATGTTTCCCTAAGGTCAGGGAGATATTGATCTAGACGGATTGAAATAATGTCCTTGATCAGCTTTATACCTGATGTCTCGCTCTGCTGTCCCGACCAAGCACCAACACACTTCACACAGTCCGTGTTAATACCACACTCTGGTACACAGGAGGAGATGCTCCCATTAACCTTGGCATCCCTTCCAATGCAGCTGTCTTCACCTCACACTCTCCACACCATTGATTACTGCTAATGCAATTCTATTGATAGCACCATCTCTATCTCTCCCCCCTCTCTCTCTATCTCTCCCGCCCTATAGGAACGAAGATGCTATCAACCAGATGGCTGTTCCCCCCTTCCCAACCCCTCCTTCTGTCCTCTCCTCCACTGAGGTGAGTCAAATTCTCACACACACATACACACACTCTTATGGCCGTGTGGTCATCCAGAAGCTGAGAGAGCATGGCACTAGCCATGACGTTATGCGATAGCATCTGCTTAGGCCAAAACACACACACCTCCAAAAGCAACAGAACAACAACTGACATCTAGCTGAAATCGTAGGCCCTTGGTCAAAAATTTAGCCTTCTAATCCAAAACATGCACGTTTTTATTTGTGCATATCCAATCAGTGCACTTATCTGAAAATATGGACTGTTATTCAATTGGAAGAAATGGTAGTGCAGTTGACAACTTTCTACTTTGAATGTGTTTTCTCCATGTATCAACACCATCATCATCATCATCACCACCATCATGATCATCACCATCATCACCACCATAATCATCATTATGATTATCATTGTCCCAGGCTCATCCCCCCACACCAGCAGCAGCAGCTGTATCGGCCTTGGCCCCTACTGAGAAGCCCCAACCTCCAGAGAGCCTGGTCCTCAGCAGGGGCCCCCTGGAGGCCTCCATCTCTATCAGCAAGGTAAGAGGCTCCACTCCCCACACTCTGTTACCTGTCCGGGGTCGTGTTAATTAGGCACCAAACGTAAGAAAGCAGACGGGAACAGGAAGGGATTACCTGGACCTGTTTTCCGTTGCAAAAAAGTTTTCTATCTGTCTTTTTTGTACATTTTCTGCCAGTGTCTTGGTCATTCTGTGGCTCTGACCTCTCTCGATTTCTCTCTCATTCGCTCGCACACACCACTCACACACACAGGAGCAGTCCAGTGTTGGCTCCAGTGGGAGCACAGCTATGGAGCTCGTCTCCAGAGAAGCAACGCTCAAGAGCCTCCGAGAGGGAGAAACCGCATCCAAGGTCAGCTGACAGGAAGCCCCTTTGTCACTTCCTCTTTGCACTCTACACGTCCCGCCCAGCCCTGAGAGCCTCAGTGTGCAGACCTTTGCAGCACCCCTAACTAATGCACTTTCCTCTTTGAAGTTTGCCACAGGCCCAGTTCACTTTCCTTTTTGAAGGCCTAACTTATATGTATAGAGACATAGGGCACTAGTCAATTCAATCCTGTGAGCTACTGTGCGCACACGTGTGTGTCTGTGTTCATGCATGTACTTCTGTGTGCTCTCTGCAGAAGGTCAAGGCCTCTGAGAAGGGGGTGGAGTCTTTGGAGAGTGTGCCTGTGCCGGTTGCCAAGGCCCTCCTGGAGCAGGTGAGCATGACAGTGGATTTGGGTTACCTATTACACGAGGCAATGTAGGGCATTCCTCAGCACTCCATGTAGGGCACTGGACTCTGCTCTATGTGGAGGGGAGAGTGAAGCAGAACGAGCTCATAGTATCAGACAACGTGTGTTTAAAATTGAACAGTAAAATACATTATTCAGTTATTCACAACTATTTTCTGGGCAAAGATCTGGTAAAATATTGACTACGATTTCTGTTGTGTTTATGCCGTTGGCGTGTGTGCACATGTGTGTGTGTGTGCGTGTGTGTGTGTGTGTGTGTGTGTGTGTGTGCGTAGACTGCCAGCCTGTCCAAGATCTCACAGAGCTCCAGTAAGCCAGTGGTGAGCACTGTGGACGGAGGGCTGGTGTCCCCCGCTGCCTCCTCCCTGCCCTCCTCCTGCACCGGTCCAGACTACTGCAGCAAAGGTATGGACCCCTCCTAACCACCTCCTCCCCGGAGCCACACTCGCAACTAGCAGTCCATTCACAGTACAGCGCTAGGGAACAACTAAGCCTTTTACTCAACATCAACTGTCTGTATTAATTTCTCTATTAAATTCACTGTGCAACACGTTGTAAATCAACTCATCTGTTTATATGCATTATACATTGGATTGCGTAATATTAATTATAAATATGACTCCAACAAACAAAAATATCAACTCTGTTGCCTTGACGTTTTATTACAGAATCTCTCTCTCTCTCCATCCTTCCCCCTCCCTCTCTCTCCAGTAGACCCAGCCACGTGTCCTATCGTTCCAGGCCAGGAGATAGTCATAGAGATTGCCAAGGGTCGCTCTGGCCTGGGCCTCAGCATCGTAGGGGGCAAAGATACACAGCTGGTAAGATGACTAACTCTACTTGTGTGTGTGACTGGTTATGTGAACTGGATCCTATGTCAACAGTCAACAACGGACACCAAGAAGGATGTTAACTTGACATTGGATTTGATATAGGCTAATGAAACGGCATGACACGAGCCAGGTCTGCCTTATGTATACCCTTTAAAATAAAGTGGAACCGTTTATTGATTTGCTGGTACCCAGTCTGTTGTAGTCGACCTCTGTTAGGTTTATTTGAAGTTACAGCGTATTGTCTCTGTCTCAGCGAAAGGTGAGAGCCACAGCCACACTGCAGAGAGTGGTCTAGCGTGCTCTCTCGCTCTTTCTTTCTTTCTCTCTCTCGCTGTCTCTCCCTCTCACACTGCTACTCTCCTCAGTCTTCTGAGAGCACACAGCAGAAGCCTCAGGCCACGTGCTATTTAATTGAATGCTCTGTAGCCGTGTTGCCCAAGGACAGCATTGAGAGATGCATTCACTTTGTTTCCACTGATCTTTCCAGAGGCTTTCAGTCCAGTTAGTCATATAGCCTAGCTTTGATTCGCTCTGTTTGTCTCTCGCTCTTGCTCTTGCTCGCTCTCTCTCTCTCTCTCTCTCTCTCTCTCTCTCTCTCTCTCTCTCTCTCTCTCTCTCTCTCTCTCTCTCTCTCTCTCTCTCTCTCTCTCTCTCTCTCTCTCTCTCTCTCTCTCTCTCTCTCTCTCTCTCTCTCATTCAATATGATTTAATGGCATGAATGACAAGGTCAATGTTGCCAAAGCGAAGTCATACTCATAACAATTATGAAAACAACAGCGATAACAATAAGAATCGAAGCTATAATACTAAAGAGAAACATATTGATTTATATATATTGATTTATACGCAAAAATATCGGTCGGAACCAGTACCAGAACCACGCAGCTTACATCTAAGAGGTTGCCTTAAGTAACCTCCTGTCTTATGTAACCATACCAAACCCTTCAAATCATACTAATTTGAGTGTCTCGGATTTATGTTTACTATGTTACGTCTAGTCTGAGACCAGGCTGATATTTTATGTGGTTGAAATACTGTCAGCTTGCATAACAGTGTCAAAGATAACACATTACATGTGCATATGCAAATTCTCAAGAGATGCTGAAAGAAAGAAATCATATTTCTCCACTCCTGTTCCCAAGACAAAATGAACTTTTGTTCTATAATTTTACTGCAAGAAATGCATTATTCTACAGGAGTTAATGTTATATTATGCTACATGTGAGAGGTTATAGGCCTACAGTCAGTGCCCAGATTTCAGTTACTATTCCATTTAACCCAAATATGAACTTAAATTAGGAATATTCTGTTTATTCATGGTAACAGGGATACTTGTGATCGGGATATCAAAGGTGCATGTAAACAGCTTATCCCAAATAAGACCTTGAGTGGGATATGAGCTACTATCCGAAATACTGTGCGCATGTAAACGTGGTCACTAATGATGTATTTGGTTTTTTCTTTATATATATATTTTTTTACATGGTTTAAGTATTCAGCTAAATGCATGCACAGTAGTGCTGAGCGATTCTTTTATCATATGAAGTTTTTATTTTTTCACACCTTTTTATCCCCAATTTTGTGATATCCAATTGGTAGTTACAGTCTTGTCCCATCACTGCAACTCCCGTATGGACTCAGGAGAGGTGAAGGTCGAGAGCCGTGCATCCTCCGAAACACGACCCTGCCAAGCCGCACTGCTTCTTGACACACTGCTCACTTAACCCGGAAGCCAGCCGCACCAATGTGTCGGAGGAAACGCTGTACAACTGGCGACCGAAGTCAGCGTGCATGCGCCCAGCCTGCCACAAGGAGTCGCAAGAGCACGATGGGTTAAGGACATCCCGGCCTGCTAAACCCTCCCCTAACCCGGACGACGCTGGGCCAATTGTGCGCCGCCTCATGGGTCTCCCGGTCGCGGCTGGCTGCGACACAGCCTGGGATCGAACCCACTTATTAACCATCATTTGTTCACATTACTTTACTTTAATAAAATATTTCAGCTAATGTGTAATATTTCAGTTGTTGTTGTGTATACATTTGTTTTATTTTACTTTATTATTTTAGTCCAAGTCCACCTATATAGTAGCTGGCTATAGAGCTGCTGCCTATGTTGTCTGACCAAATCACTATTTCAGTAGTCTTTCAAAGTAAATAAGGCATACTTTTATGACTGCTGAATACCAACTATCAATCACTTAGATCATGTATTGTCGGGTAGAAATGCCTCGCGAAACAACAACCGCTCTCTATCCCTCTCGATAGTGCGTTCTTAGGTCGTAAACGATTGTCGGATGTCTTGGCTCGTTCAGTGTGACAGAATTTTAAGTACCTCTGTGCGGTCGTAGGCTCCGACAAAGTTCTGACAGTGTTAGAAATCTTAAGCTTTTATCGCAGGGTTTCCCAAACTCGGTCCTCGGGACCCCAAGGGGTGCACGTTTTGGTTTTTGCCCTAGCATTACACAGATGATTCAAATAATCAACTAATCATCAAGCTTTGATTATTTGAATCAACTGTGTAGTGTTAGGGCAAAAAACAAAATGTGCACCCCTTGGGGTCCCTAGGACCGAGTTTGGGAAACGCTGCTTTATCGTGTAGTGTGGCTGGTGTTATGAGCCGATCCCAGTGACTGACCAATAGGAACCTGGCCGGCACGGAGTATGCATACAAAATAATACGATTAACCTATTGTGAATAGTATGATTCATATAATAGTTTGATTTTAACGTTTACATGCTTTGCAAGAAGAATGATTTCCCTAATAATCTTGTTTACATGACACATCTGAAATCAGGCTACCTGATGGGATTTTGATAAATGCCGAAAATCTATATAAACTCTTTCTTTCTCTCCTGTCTTTATTTCTCTCCTCTATCTCTCTCGCCCTTCGTCACACCTTGTCTAAGAAGTCTGTTAGATTTGCAACAGAGAGCATGTTATTTTTGGGAAGCCTGAGTTTTCCCGAACTCACTTCACTCGCGCATAAGCATAGAGGGAGGCTTGCGCTGCTGGTGCTAGCACATGCGCAGATAAAATACACTGCAGTTGGCGTAGCCTACGTCGGCTGACGTGGCCTTGCAAGCAGAATGTGATGACAAAACTAAAGAAATCGTACGATTTGGCCAGGTTGATATCAAGATAAAAATTTGGTAACATCCCACAGTGTGATGTAATAATCATAAAGGCTGAATCCGGCGTACGGTGTGGGAAGACCTTAAGGAGAAGTCTCCTTCCAATGTTCAATAGCATTCCATCTTTCTCTGACCTTCGACCTCACTCCGCCAATAGTTGATGCATTCTTATTATTCTCCTCCAGATGTCTAAATATTGTGTTAATTTCAATATTGTGTTTTTGGGCCAGTTTTGTTAAGGGTTCACTGTGGGCAGAGACTGTTGTCCATAAATGCTCTCTGCTTGTATGAACCTTTGTTGGATTGGGTGTACCCAGAATTTGCTTGCCCTTTTTTCAGTGGGCAGTAGAAGAGGAAGTCTTCCTAATGTTTTTGCAAAATTCAAGCTGCAGTTTTTGTGTGGGTGTTTTGTGGGTGGTGCTCGCTCGCTCGCTCTCTCTCTCAATAATCGGTATTGAGGGTTCATATCAATTGCTGTCGTTTGAAAGTGCTGTAAATGAGAACGGTTTAGGCAGGTGTGAGTGGTTAGGTCTATCAGTTGCTAAAAGCAGTCCAAATGTCCTATTCACGATCTCCATCATATCCCCTCTTTTCTCTCCGTCTCTACCCCACCCCCCTATTCTACCTCTCGCTTCTTCTCCTCTCTCTTGCTCTCTCTATCCATCTCTGTCTCTCTCTAGGATGCTATAGTGATCCATGAGGTGTATGAGGAGGGGGCGGCGGCACGCGACGGACGACTCTGGGCTGGAGATCAGATCCTGGAGGTTAGTCTCTCTCTTTCTTTCTTTCTTTCTCTCTCGCTCTCTCAATCTCCTTTTTCTCTCCCTCTCTCCATCAGTCTCGCTCTTTCTTTTCTCTTTGTCTCTTGCTCGCTCGCATTCTCTCCCGCTCTCTTTCTTGCTCTCTCTCTCGCCTCTTTCTTTCTCTCCTCTTTCTCTCTCCCTTCGTCACACCTTTTCTAACAAGTCTGTTAACTGTGCAACAGAGAGGAACATAGAATACATACAGACATCACTGCACCTTTTACATCAATGCACATGGTCGTGTCATGTTCCTCGGTGCACTAAACTAAGACAATGTCTCCCTCTACTGGAATTAGACAGGCCGTGGTGAAAACATTTGCACACAAAAAAGGAGGACTTCAGGAGAGTCTCAAGTTGGATTTCATTTGATTTAATAAAATTGACCATGAATATTGCAGCCCATTTGTGTAGGCTATTAGCCAGACAAAACCTGCTGAGTTAAACAATAAATAGTGGCTGAATTTATTATTCCTCATTGTTAGGCTATTTGATGTGGAATTTTTATTTTAAACAGTTTATAAATAGCAGCTAAATACTGTATATAGGTGGGAGAACTCCAACCTTGCGGGGTCCAGAGAAACTGAGTTCCACCGGTGTACGTGTGTGTGTGTGTGTGTGTGTGTGTACGCCCATCCAGGTGAATGGTGTGGACCTGCGCAGCGCTGCCCACGAGGACGCCATCGCAGCCCTACGGCAGACCCCGGCCAAGGTGTGTCTGACGGTGCTACGGGACGAGGCGCAGTACCGCGATGAGGAGAACCTGGACGTGTTCAGTGTGGAACTGCAGAAGAAGGCTGGCCGCGGCCTGGGCCTCAGTATCGTTGGCAAGAGGTACAGTTGCTACTCTGACACACACATAGGCTGCATCCCCATTCTCCTGATTCTCACAAAGTGTGCACTACTGCATTTGCACACTCCCCGTCGTAGATTTAACAATGGTGGAAACTCCCTCTAGCCCATGCTTACACCAATCCAATGTTTTTAAATCCATGACCGGAAGTATGCAAGTGTACACTTTGGGAGGAGGGTGGAGAATTGGTTTGCAACTTTCTTGTGTCTCCACTGCAGGAGTTTCACCACAAACAGGGAGTTTAATGTTAACTAGCAAGAGGTGTAAGGAGGAACTGTGCTGTAGCCATTCGCACAATGTTCTTGCACACGTGGGATTTGTTATTTTGTTATCTACGTGATCTCCATCAAACGGCAATGAAGGGTTAACCAGCATTTGCTCAGGCTTACAATGTCAGATGTGAAAATGTTTGTTGTAATTCTTTGCAATACATTGGCTCGGCACCTGTTCAAATGGCTGTTGGTCTGTGTGCACTGTAGGAATGGCACGGGGGTGTTCATCTCGGACGTGGTGAAAGGGGGCGCTGCCGAGCTGGACGGCCGACTGATGCAGGGGGACCAGATCCTCTCTGTCGATGGAGATGACATGAGGCAGGCTTCGCAGGAGACGGTGGCCGCCATTCTCAAGGTAAGGGGATGGGACAGACGTATAGGCTCAACGTCACACCAGCAAACAACTACATAGACTTGTAGACATAGACTTGATATACCAAATGCACACATACACACACACAGAACTGCCGTTATAGACCAAACAAATACTGTGCAATTACAGATCAAATAAACCACAGCTGCAGTCACAGACAAAACAAATAACTACAGTGTAGTCACAGACAAAACAAATAATCACAGTTGTCACGGACAAAACAAATAATCACACTCGTCACAGACAAAACAAATAATCACAGTCGTCATGGACAAAACAAAGAATCACAGTCGTCACAGACAAAACAAAGAACAATAGTCACAGACAAAACTAATAACAATGGTAGTCATAGACAACACAAATAACTACAGTAGTCAAACTAAAACCCATAACAACAGCTAATACTTGCCTTAAAATAACACAATCAAACAAACATCCCTCTCACCGTCACAGACCAAGACAATACCCAGCCTGTCCGTAACCACCAAACTCTTCTTCCTTCTACCAGAAGGGGTCACCATTAGTACTGTTATTGTCAAAGGCTGCAGAGCTCTTAAGAAGTGGTGTGCTTTTAGCTGCAGCGGAGGGGCGTTCCAGGGTGGTTGTTCTGGCTACAGTTGTGGAGTCCTTTTAAAGTGGGTGCTTTGTGGACAGATGCTACAGTGGTGTAACCTTTGCCAGTACCCTTACTGAAGTATGTAGTAGTATTCAACTTCTTGCTTCCATCTATGACCTGGAGTGGGTATCCTGGCTGCAGTTGGGCATTAAATGGGTTGTATTGTTGTCTTAGTATTGCACTGTCTGTGTACCAAATGGCACCCTATTCCCTATATATAGTGCACTATGTAGGGAATAGGGTACCATTTGGGACGCGACCTATGAAGTGGAGACCCTGTAAGATTGAAGTGCGTGTCCTGTCCTCTGTAGTGAACTTGGAAGTGGAGATTCCACCAGGTTGTATCAGCCAGTCATCAGCCAGTTGTTCACTAGGATGTGGAGACTCTGTAAGGCTAGTCCCTAGCTGCTCTGCTCTGGTAGTGACATGCTGTGCTGTTGCGCTACCTGTGCCTCTGCAGTGTGCCAGGGGGATGGTGCTCCTAGAGCTGGGCCGACTGAAGGCTGCCTCCTGGATCTCTTCCAGACACACCTCCCAGGGAAGCCAGGTGTGTGTGTGTGCGTGAACTCGCCGGAGGAGTGTGTGTGCGGCCATTCTCACCCCCGCTGCCTGGGAGCTTGCATGCAGAAGCTCAGTCACACTGACTCACCCTGGCTGCTGTGTCATTAATACCCCTGACTCACCTCCTCCTCCTCGCTCCATTCATGTCATGCATGGGAGCCAAAATGGCCGCCTGCTGGACGTTTACCAGACTCATTCTGGTGTCAACTGTGTGTCACTGACTCACTCACCCAGCCAAACTCACCGCCACCGGGCAGCATGCCTCAGTGTGTGTTTTCTCCTGACTGGATCATAGCTCTGTTTCCCCTCCCTCTCTCCCTCCCTCCAACAGATGAGCCACGTGATTGCCAACAGCACAATCGTCACGCCCCAGCCCCTGCTAAACTCCACCCCCTCCACCTCTCAGCTCCTCAACAATGCCAGGAAGCCCATGACGGAGAGCATGACCTCATCAAAGAGTGCAGGTAGGACCACTTTGCTCTCCTGGATTGGAACCTAGCCTCTCCGTCTGACCATTCGTACTGCACTTTTGGTATTTGAAGTGCTGAGCTCTGAGAACCAGGGTTGGATATCAGTCAGTTCCCTGTGTAATGCCCCTCTGTCTCTCTCCCTCTCTCCATGTATAGGAGCAGAGATGGGTATGCGCACTGTGGAGATCACACGGGTAAATTGATCACTCCTCTTCTGTTCAGTTCATAACAATGATTGCTGTGATCATCAGAAGATGAGGAGTCACCAACCAAACAAATCACCCTTCTCCTTCCCTCTCTCTCAGGGTCCTACTGATGCGTTGGGGATCAGTATAGCTGGGGGGAAGGGCAGTCCTCTTGGGGATATCCCCATCTTCGTGGCTATGATCCAGGCCAACGGGGTGGCAGCCAAGACACACAGGCTCAAGGTTTTGTGTGTGTGTGTGTGTGTGTGTGTCTGTGTGCGTGCCCCACCATCCCCTTACTGTCTATAATCTCTCACCATGGTGTTTGTGTCCTCCAGGTGGGAGATAGAATAGTGAGTATCAACGCTCAGTCTCTGGATGGCATGTCCCATGGGGATGTGGTCACCATGCTGAAGAATGCCTACGGCAGCATCATTCTCCAGGTGGAAACACACACTGCAAGCATGCTCATGCGCACTCATGCATGGAACTCATGCACACACACCAGACACACACACACATATACACTCACCGGCCAGTTTGTTAGGTACACCACCCCATTCATGAAAATGGATCGCTCTTACAGACAGTGGGTCACGTGGCCGTGGCTTGTTATTTATATATATATATAAAGCAGGACAGGTATCGAGGCATTCAGTTACTGTTTGATTGAACTTTAGAAGGGGCAAAACGAGTGACCTAAGCGTGGTATGATCGTCGGTGCCAGGCACACCGGTTCCAGTATCTCAGAAATGGCCAGCCTCCTGTGCTTTTCACACACTACCGTGTCTAGGGTTTACCGCGAATGGTGCGACAAACAAAAAACATCCAGTCAGCGGCAGTCCTGTGGTTGAAAACAGCTCGTTGATGAGAGGTTGAAGGAGAATGGCAGGAATCGTGCAAGCTAATAGGAGGGCCACAAACAGACAAATAACGGCACAGTACAACAGTGGTGTGCAGAACGGCATCTCGGAATGCACAACTCGTCAGTCCTTGTCAAGGATGGCTATTGCAGCAGAAGACCACACCGGGTTCCACTCCTATCAGCTAAAAACGCGATCACCAACACTGGAGGGCTAAGGAAGTCTTGAGGTTTTGCTCACCTGAGGTAGAGTATCTCATGATAAGCTGTAGACCACACTATTTACCAGGAGAGTTTTCATCTATATTTTTTGTAGCTGTCTACCTATCCCCACAAACCGATGCTGGCACTAAGATTGCACTCAATGAGCTGTATAAGGCCATAAGCAGACAGGAAAACGCTCATCCAGAGGCAGCGCTCCTAGTGGCCGGGGGACTATAATGCAGGGAAACTTAAATCCGTTCTGCCTAATTTCTATCAGCATGTTAAATGTGCAACCAGAGGGGAAAAAAACTCTAGACCACCTTTACTCCACACACAGAGACGCATACAAAGCTCTCCCTCGCCCTCCATTTGGCAAATCTAACTCTATCCTCCTGATTCCTGCTTATAAGCAAAAACGAAAGCAGGAAGCACCAGTGACTCGGTTGATAAAAAAGTGGTCAGATGACGCAGATGCTAAGCTACAGGACTGTTTTGCTAGCACAGACTGGAATATGTTCCGGGATTCTTCAGATAGCATTGAGGAGTACACCACATCAGTCACCGGCTTCATCAATAAGTGCATTGATGACGTCGTCCCCACAGTGACTGTACGTACATACCCCAACCAGAAGCCATGGATTACAGGCAACATCCGCACTGAGCTAAATGGTAGAGCTGCTGCTTTCAAGGAGCGGGACTCTAACCCAGACGCTTATAAGAAATCCCGCTATGCCCTCCGACGAACCATCAAACAGGCAAAGAGTCAATACAGGACTAAGATTGAATCGTACTACACTGGCTCTGACGCTCGTCGGATGTGGCAGGGCTTGAAAACTATTACAGACTACAAAGGGAAGCACAGCCGCTAACTGCCCAGTGACACAAGCCTACCAGACGAGCTAAATCACCTCTATGCTCGCTTCGAGGCAAGCAACACTGAAGCATGCATGAGAGCATCAGCTGTTCCGGATGACTATGTGATCACGCTCTCCGTAGCCGATGTGAGTAAGACTTTTAAGCAGGTCAACATTCACAATGCCGCAGGGCCAGACAGATTACCAGGACGTGTACTCCGAGCATGCGCTGACCAACTGGCAAGTGTCTTCACTGACATTTTCAACATGTCCCTGACTTAGTCTGTAATACCAACATGTTTCAAGCAGACCACCATAGTCCCTGTGCCCAAGGACACTAAGATAACCTGCCTAAATGACTACCGACCCATAGCACTCACGTCTGTAGCCATGAAGTGCTTTGAAAGGCTGGTCATGGCTCACATCAACACCATTATCCCAGAAACCCTAGACCCACTCCAATTTACATACCGCCCCAACAGATCCACAGATGATGCAATCTCTATTGCACTCCACACTGCCCTTTCCCACCTGGACAAGAGGAACACCTACGTGAGAATACTATTCATTGACTACAGCTCAGCATTCAACACCATAGTGCCCTCAAAGCTCATCACTAAGCTAAGGATCCTGGAACTAAACACCTCCCTCTGCAACTGGATCCTGGACTTCCTGGCGGGGCGCCCCCAGGTTGTAAGGGTAGGTAACAACACGTCTGCCACGCTGATCCTCAACACAAAGGACATGATTGTGGACTACAGGAAAAAAAAGAGGACTGAGCACGCCCCCATTCTCATCAACGGGGCTGTAGTGGAACAGGTTGAGAGCTTCAAGTTCCTTGGTGTCCACATCACCAGCGAACTATCATGGTACAAACACACCAAGACAGTCGTGAAGAGGGCACGACAAAACCTATTCCGAAAAGATTTGGCATGGGTCCTCAGATCCTCAAAAGGTTCTACAGCTGCACCATCGAGATCATCCTGACTGGTTGCATCACCGCCTGGTATGGCAACTGCTCGGCCTCCGACCGCAAGGCACTACAGAGGGTAGTGCGTACGGCCCAGTACATCAGTACATCACTGGGGTTAAGCTTCCTGCCATCCAGGACCTCTATACCAGGCGGTGTCAGAGGAAGGCCCTAAAAATTGTCAAAGACTCAAGCCACCCTAGTCATAGACTGTTCTCTTTGCTACCGCACGGCAAGCGGTACCGGAGCGCCAAGTCTAGGTCGAAAAGGCTTCTCAACAGCTTCTACCCCCAAGCCATAAGACTCCTGAACAGCTAATCATGGCTACCCGGACTATGTGCACTGACCTTTATTTTTTCTTAATTAAAACTTTATTTTACATTTTACTTTTTTTTTTAAACTGCATTGTTGGATAAGGGCTTGTAAATAAGCATTTCACTGTAATGTCTACACCTGTTGTATTCGGCGCATGTGGCAAATAAAATTTGATTTGATTTGGACAATTGAGGAGTGGAAAAACATTGCCTGGTTCGACGAATCCCGGTTCCTGTTCCGTCATGCTAATGGCAGAGTTAGGATTTGGCGTAAGCAGCATGAGTCAATGGTCCCATCCTGCCTGGTGTCAACGGTACAGGCTGGTGGCGGTGGTGTACTGGTGTGGGGAATGTTTTCCTGGCACACGTTAGGTCCCTTGATACTAATTGAGCAACGAACGTTTCCGACACGTTGTAGAGTCCATGCCCTGAAGAATTCAATAAAGGGGTCTGACCCCGGTACTAGATAAGCTGTACCTAATAAACTGGCCAGTGACTGTTTACACACACACACACACACACACACACACTAACACCCCAACCCACTCATATTTTGTATGGCCAAATAAGGGGCCCCAATGTGACCACATTGTTTTATAATTGCAGATTATTTTACATCCATCAAATACATATTCCCTAATAAGGAAAAAATATGCCATTTTATTTACAGATATGTAAAAAATACATTTTCCAAATATAAATCCTTAAACTTTATTTGACTATGATGTGTATGTATTTATCAATGGTGTATGCACATACTGTGTGCAGTAGAAAATACTGCCGTGTGTTTGTGCACACACACACCCGCCCATACACTGTGTGGTTATCAGCTCTGTGCAGCCGGCTGGCAGTTTGGCGCACTGGGACAGATAATCCCAGGCCTTTATGCTAATGCAGCTTTATCAGTCCAGCTCCAGAAGCCTCAACACTGGGCTGTTACACTGGGCTAGCCCTGCTGCCTAGCGCTGATTACACCACACACACACCACCCAGGACACCTAGCAATTACTGTAGACAACTAACCCCCTCCCTCCTCACACCTCTTTCTCTCTCCGTGTCTGACTCGATCTCTCTCTGCACCTCTCTCTCTCTTTCTAGTTCGCTCTCTGTTTCTATCTCTTTCGCTGTCTCTCACTCTTTCTCACTCCTTCTCCCTCTCTCTCTCTCTCCATAAAGAAGGTGTCAGTAAGATAAGTGCAGGCGATGGCTGGGGAGCGTTCCACTAATGTTCCCTCGCACAGCCAACAAGTCGTCCGTTAATTAGCCTTTGTTTGTTGTTGTTTTCATATTTTAATTGCCTCCCACTTGATTAAATATGGAAATGAAATGATGCTGACGACGTCGCCACCCTCTGTTGTTGGCTGACTGACTATTTCATTAAAAGAGAAAACTAAAACCTAACGAACATATTTTCCTTGCCAAAGAAGGAGCAGGAGAGAGAGAGGGAAAGGAGAAAATGATCAATGATAGCCACATTATGCTTTGTGTGGCTCTCTATGACATTGAACCAGGACTTTGAACTAGGAACCATGTCTGTAGTACATTACCATTTTTAGTGATTCTTTTCGATTTGAAACACACATCGCATGTACCCTGATAGACTCATCCTCGTCTATAACACACAAACACGTACACACCCACACACAAGCAGAGACAGATTATACCCTGTGAGTTCTAATGTAAAAACGTAACACGTGCATTGTTTTGTTTACTGTCATTTGTGCATACTAATTTGTTTGTGTGTGTGTTGCAGGTAATCGCCGACACCAACATCACTGCCATAGCCAGTCAGGTGGAGAGTATGTCCACTAGCACCAGCCTTCCCAACAGCCCAGACTCACAGCCAGGGGAGCCAGAGTGAGTAGGAATAAGTTGCTCCTAGACACTGATCTAAGGTCATTTTTGCATTCTCCCCTAATGGTTAAGGTTTGGATTAGGGGAGGGTAAGCTGACCCTAGATCTGTACAATAACACAATATTAATTACATTAAATTAAAAGAAGTGTAAAAATAATGGATCCCATTGTTTGAGCAAGTAGGACAATAAAAGGCCCGGTGCATCCTAGTCCTAACCCTCTGGTTCCTTCATGTCTCTGCAGGGCCCCCAAGCCCAAGAGTATTTCTCTGGAGAAGGGTTCTGACGGCCTGGGCTTCAGCATCGTAGGGGGCTTCGGAAGCCCCCATGGAGACCTGCCCATCTACATCAAGACTGTCTTCAGCAAGGTAACTAACTCCACTTTGCACCATCACGCATGCATGCAGGGTAATGTGGCTTAGTTTGCCATAGGGCATACTGTGTTTTTATTTCCCCTCTGGGACACCAGATGGCAGCAATGTTCCTTCACCACATACACACACATTTAGACACACACATATAATATAACTAACCTTGTGGGGACACACAATTCAGTCCCATTCAAAATCCTATTTTTCCTAACCCTAAACATAACCCTAACCCCAAACCTAACCTGAATGAACTCTAACCCTAAAAATAACCCTAGTTCTTAACACTAAACCTAATTCTAATTATAACCCTAACTAACACAAATTCTAACCTTAACCCTAAAACCCCTAGAAATAGCATTTGACCTTGTGGGGACTAACAAAATGTCCCCAGTTGGTCAAAACATTTTTTGTTTACTATTCTTGTGGAGAATTCTAGTCCCCACTAGTATACTAAAACACGTCCACATACAAACACATTCACAAACAGATCAGTGATTACTTCTAAAAAGGAAGGAAGTTAAAGTGGAACTGACAGCATTTTAGCAACATGAAATCTTATTAAAATCTGTTCATATATACCCCCAGGAAGAATATGACACCTTTTTTAAATATTTTCTGACAAGCAAGCATTTCAATATGGTCATTTTCACGTTTTCATAAATTCATAGAATGTTTGGGAATGACGTATAGTAAGGCATTTGTGAAAGTTCTATAGCAAAATAGAGTGGGAAAGCGGCTGTGCGTTTGGATAATTAATAGACACTGCAGTAAATAAAACCTAATAAAAACATCTGTCTCCTCCAGAACTGGAGTCTCCGCAGACCAGTGCACCATAGCCAATCACAGCTACAGTAGGCCTTTATGCAAATAACCATTTGCCACAAGGACATGCCATCATGTGTTTACAGGCAGTAGCAACAGCCTGACTTTAGATTATTAGAACGCATTTGGCAAAAGCCACAAAATACACCTGAATGGATTTCTGCAAATATGTAAATACCACATTTGGGAACTTTACTGTCATATTGATCAAACAACCATGAAAAGGTAGGCTCGCTCCCTCAGTTATGCACATCAATAACTAATGCTAGTCAGAGTGTTCAGAGCGCACACTGCACTATTGACACTGGACACTCTGGCCGAGGAGTAGGGTTGATCCGTGCGTTCCTCACAACGGCAGTCAGGCACCCAACCTAACTAGCTACATTTGGTTAGCTTGCTAGATGCTTCCAGACACAAATGAGAGAACACCAAACTTTGACCATTATACTCGCCCTAGCAGGGCTTGTTAGGCTGTTTACATGTTATCTAGAGCGTTAGTGACTATGTAATTACTTTTTTGCCTACGTTTACTGACACCGGTCATATTCAGAAGGTGTTGCGCATTCGTAAATTCATCAGTTAATCTGCGCTCTGGCACACTCAGATGAGAGTGCTGTGAAATCGGAGTAGATAGCCAGAGTGAATTTACGAACGCAAGATATGCTAACTGGATAACAGTCGTTCAAGTTCATCATAGCTAGCTAGCTAGCTAGCAAAGCGATTCACATTTCTTGCTAGCTAACCAAATGACACCTGCATCCCTAGCTGTAGCCACCGAAAAATACAAATGTCACTCACCCACTCCAATGACATGACATCCTCCCAGCAGCTAACTAGCTAGCTAACGTTAGGCTCTGTGTTTTTAGCTTGCTAAATAAATAGATACGCTAGCTTATTAGCCATGTTATGACTGACTTGTAATCATTGCCATTGCTAGTTTGATTGTATTGACATTCCCAGCCTTAGTTACATTCGTCCATTTTTGTCCAAAATATTGAGTCATTGAAACTGAAACGGTGGAGGCAGCAAACAATGTACCAGGCCAGCTGTGATTTACAACCTACCAAGAAATGTATTGGTGAATTATATTAATCATGCAGTGAACTGCATCCATCTATTCTGGCAACAATACATTATGGAATGTTGTGTCAAATATAACCTATTTTTAAAACCTCTTAAAAAGTTGGTTTTGTAGCATAAACTGGGAATTTGATATTTTTTACTAATATTATGATTGTCTGTTTGTAGTTAAAACGCTGTCAGTTCCAAGGATCATAAGGTTGTTTAAAAAACATATATATACTGTAACGGGCGGTTGTCTTATTTCCACCACCTTTCCCCCTTTTACTATGTGTGCTCCCCTTGTTCTTCCTGCAGGGGGCAGCGGCGGTAGACGGGCGTCTGAAGAGGGGCGACCAGATCCTATCGGTGAATGGAGAGAGTCTGGAGGGGGCCACCCACGAACTGGCCGTAGCCATACTGAAGAGACAGAGGGGGGCTGTTACTCTGAAAGTACTCTCCTAGTTCACCCACACACCTATACCCCCGATGGCAAGCGACCATTATGGGGGTTGAACTAGTTTCAACTTTCCAGCGTGCAAAAAATATAAGACTCTGTTCCGAGGAGTTGGCCAACATCTGATGCCCGTCTTCACCCTTTTAAACAGCCCATTAACGAGAAGGTGGCATTGGTTCTGGAACGATTCAATCTATAGGTGGCACTGCCAGGGAGAGCCCTGCCCTGTAGAGATGTAGAGAGAAAACGTGTGCCGCGTTCAGCTGTGCCCTCAAGTGAACCATGAGAAATAAGAGGACTATTTGGGAGGCTGCAGGAAGTAGTGACACCTCATTTCCTGTGTGCCATCTTAGGAGCTTGCTTCACTATGAGGGCGGTCCAATGGCTGCACTGACTGGATACACAACATGACTTAAAATGGCAGATGCTTGAATGTTATGTAGCAAGGAAACAAAGGGAAGCTTTACAGTCTATGTGAATATCTGCTCTCTGTGTCATTTCAGCTTTTTTTGTGTGATCGCACTCGTGCTTCCTTCCTAGAACACTGATAGAACAATACAAGAGATTCAGTTGGTTTAGGTCTCTTCACCGTTAGCCTGGCATTAGCTTAGCATCTCCCTGATGGGGAGACACTGGTTAGCCGTTAGCGATGTTAGCTGCAGGTTCTGCTAATGTTCATACTGTGAGGGTGAATGGTCTCGGCAGGGAATGGGGCTATGACACAGTGAGTCACTGTCAGGTTGACACACATCTTCTAATTTCTCTCATACACTTGTCCATTTGTCTCATGTCATACTTGCCCACACACAATTTAAATTCGTAGTGTCATACTCTTACACAAAGGTAGTAAGCTCAACAGTCTAGTCCCCTCAAACACAACTCTGGACCTCGAAGACAGTTCCACTGCATTTTTTCATTATTGCCCTCTAATCAGGGAACTGATTTAGACCTGGGACACAAGGTGGGTGCCATTTAATTATCAGGTAGAACAGAAAACCAGCAGGCTTCAGAACTCGTAGGGTAAGAGTTGAAAACCACTGGTCTAGTCTATATATGTGGTCAAAGAAATGAATCAACGCATTTATGCTGAAATAACTGGTAACCTGCCATGTACTTCTATACCACTTAATAGCATGCTCGTAAGCATGACACAACACCCTCTGTAGCCAACCAAAAGCAGTTATAAAGGCCAACAACTACTTGCTGGTATTTCACTATACAGTATGTTGTGTAGTCCTGCTAAGAGTTGTTGTAAGCTATTGTGCGTGTCACGAAGGAGTTATGTCTTGCATATGCAGATGTTAGACAGGTTATTAGTACACAGTTTTGCCAAATAATCAGAACCCGCTTTGAATCTGAGACCTTTGCAAAGCAATGAAAAATATATACAGTGTGTGTTTGTTAGCACTGTTGCGGCAGACACGTTGCTATTAGCGGTACAATATAATGTAGGCGAATCTCAGGACTTAAATCGGGCATCGTGTCTGTTACTGGGGCTTGCTTTCCCCTAGTGTGGGTTTGTATGGAGGGTAGCTACATTTTTACCTCTGTTGCTGGCCCTGGAATATCCCTGTAAGCCTATTAAGGTTCTATGAAATGGTGTCAAAATACATCCATGTCTTAACTAGTCTGGTCCAAGATATTTGTGCTACTCCCATGGTCATTATCAAGCCAAACAAGACCGCACAAACATGACTGGAACCAGGCTTTATCTTAACTGGTAGAAGGGAGAAAGATTATGCTAATGCTAATTTGAGTTGGATGATCCACCTCCTATCCAATCCCAATCATTTTAGTTTGTGGACTGGACACGTGCATTTAAATTAAGTGCTATTACTTTTTGTTTTACCTGCCTTTGTCATTGTTTTTATTAGTGTCATGCGGATGGTACTACATGCATGTTACTGTAAGCTTATTATTTTGTTTAGATGTATCATGGCAACAAAAAAATCTATCAATGTTTTTGGTCATTTGGGGCACTATCAGAATCAATTGACTGAAACAGGAAGGGACAACCTGAACTTAAGAAATGCTTGTTTTTGTTTTGCATAGCAAGACATTTTGCTACGGTGTGCACTAATGAATACAACCATGTGTGTCTGTAGCTCCACACTGTCCTGTCCAGCTGCGAGAAGCTCACCACGTCCCAACAATTACAGGATATCCTGTCTCCCTCGGCTGGAGCCCGTCGTTTGTTTCCCGTGTTGCTGCAACCCCTCCACGCTCACGGGAAGTGACACCACGTTACTCCAAGACACTTTGAGGCCCCCCCTCGGTTGTATTCATTAGGCCCCAAACTAGAGAAAGCAGACTGAAACAAGGAGGCAATACCTGAACTTGCCCAATAAAAAACACTTGTTTTCTGTTGCAAACCGTTTAGCTACAATGAATACGACCCCGGCTGACACTAAGGAAAACCCTACATATTAACTCTCAAACCGTGCCTGTCTCAGTAAAAGTGCAATCTGGTGTGCGTCCTAAATACTTGTAAGGGGTCCTAGGATTTAGGGGAAGTGGGCTTCTTAAGGGGACTGACTACTGCTCTGCCATGAGTCGCTGATGTGCAAGAGTAGACAGTGTGTTCATCATACGTCGGTCTTATTTCTGTGAGAGCCTATTGCTGTAAGTCTTAATGCCAGATCCCTTTAAAGAGATTACGTTTAAACTCACACATATTCAGCCACTCACTGCTGCCTATTTCACGTTCTTCTTTCCCTCTCTCTCATGCTGTTTTCCTCATGCTGTGATCTCTCCATCTACTCTAGACTTAGATTTTGTCAGAATTGTTCCTATGCGTGTCAATTGGCAATAGGCTGTGTGTGTGTACACATGCGTGTGTTCATCAGAAGTTGTACTGATGATGATGATCCTGTAACTCCCAATAATTCCGTCTTATGTCATCGATGAACTGAACGCTCGTCCGTAGCGCCACAGAAAACGTATTTCTTCACATCATTGATCGATGGAACGCATTTTCAAATCCAAAGAAACAATCCACCCTTCATATATCGATGTGTGACAAGCTCTGCTGTAATAACGTGGTTACACAGTATATATCTATAGAAAAATATATTCTCTATGATCACAAATGCAAGTCTTATCTTTAAATGTGTGTAGCCTACTGACTGTGGTCATACACTGATGCTCTTTGTGAATTCTGATTAATTGTCTGATGATGATCCATGTTTTATTAAATACAAGGGGAGCACAATCATTTCCACCATGTCCTCCCTCTGATCTTCAAGTGTGGCTGTTTAGTCCTTAAAATCAATGTATTTTATGAAGTTGTTCTACCATGTGTCATTGATACGCTGATAACAAATATTTCAATTGCTTCCATTGTTATGAGAATTTTTCATTTTATTTTTTAGGTCTGTATATTAAGACTGAAGTCACACTTTAGGCCCATATGGGCTTTATGTTATTACATGTTTTATAAATCAGTAATAGTTTGACATAATTATCAAATATTCTACACTTTAATTGATTTCTACTCATCTTGAATTGTTTTGCTACTTGCTTGGAGTGCTATTGATAAATTGTCTTTGTATGTCTCTCTGAAACGATGTGTGTGTGTCCACGACAAACCACGCATTGGTGGCTTGTATTGGTTCTTATTGGTCACATGACAGTGACTTTGTCCTCCATGCCTTCAAGGGCTGTGTTCTCATATGCACCCTTGTGATCTCTGCTCCTGTGGGTGGGGGGGGGGGGGGGGGGGACACACACTAATTAGAACACAACCCCTACTGTAATTGCACACACACCACAACATTTATCTGTAGGTCGTCAGTACTTTTAGAAATGTAGACCACAAAACAACAGAAAATAAGTGTTTAAGTGGTATTGTTAGAGCATCTTACCTGACCATATCCAGGCTGGTATCATAGTTGTCTCCATTGGTCTTGGCATAGCCAGTGTTCTTCCCACACTCACATACTTTGGTCTCCAGCCTTCATGCAATTGAGAATGGTAAACATTAGAATGCTCCCTTCCATTCAGTTAGAAGCAATTATAACATCTTGTCAATCTCATATAGTTTGGTGCAGGTGGAGAAACGAGATTGGGCTAAAGACCCAAATGTGTCTGTAGAGACCCAATACTTATCTTGCTAGAGACAAAAACGTGTGTCCCAATACTCTAAATCTTGAATTGTGAATTACACTGAGTATACTAAACATTAAGAACACCTGCTCTTTCCATGACAGACTGACCAGGTGAAAGCTATGATCCCTTATTGATGTCACTTGTTAAATCCACTTCAGTCAGTGTAGATCAGGGTTCTTCAATTCCGGTCCTGGAGGGCCGAAACACTTCTGTTTTTTATTTCTACCTGGTAGTTAATTGCACTCACCTGGTGTCCCAGGTCTGAATTAGCCCCTGATTAGAAGGAGAGGATGAAAAACAGAGGTGTTTCTGCCCTCCAGGACCGGAATTGAAGAACCCTCGTGTAGATGAATGGAAGGAGATAGGTTAAAGAAGGAAGGAATTGGATAGGAGGACTTTAAACCCAACAAGGACAACAACAGAGGGAGAAAGAGGAAGGATTTCTGGAGGATAGTTCAGGCCTTGGTAGGTAAACAAGCATTCAGATAAACAAACAAGCAAAAGAGCACTTGGAAAGGAGGTAGAAACATTCTGAACATTGAGAGAGTATCTTCATGTATGTGTTTCATTGAAAACCACATTTATCTATAGCTGCATTATTTCAATAAGTGCTTTCATCAAGAGGCACATGCACATCATTCTAGAGCAGAGTGTGTTGTTTAGAGGTCACCATGGAGATGAGGATGGATGCATTCTCTAAGCATTGTTTCAGAGACCTTGCCATCACGTATCCTGAGAATGTTTCAAATGAGTCAGGAAAAAATAAATTCAAAAATAAATTGCTAAGAGAATCCCCAGAGACTGAGGGCAGACTTCATCCTAAAAGCGAACAAGGAAATAAAAGGAGACCTTCTGTTCTACACAGATGATCCTAATGCTTGGCACAAAGCTCTCCACAAGACCAACAATGAACTTAAAATGTGAAAACAGAACAACTAGGCAACTGTACATTGATTCCACACCCAAATGTAACATTCATATTTATAATAACGGCACTGTGAGGGTTCAAGGTTCGGAGGACAAGTCTGGATCAAATTGTCCACTACTTTGAACAAATAAAACCTCATGTTGCTAAACTTAAAACCTCTCCACCGTCACTACCTACAACAGCTTCCACTCCCTCTGTGCCCTAGTATGTAGTCCCCAGTGTCCCTCTCCTTCCCTCGCCTGTAGCAGACACAGCCCTGAGCATGCCTCTCTCACACCTGCAGTACCGCAGCATCTTATAGAGGAGGAGATCAGCCCGGTGCGTCAGCATAGGGATGAGATCCGGGAGCTGCGGTGTGCAGGAGTACAACCAGGCTCCCAGGATGGAAGTGCACAGACCTACAGAGGAACTGTCCAGCACAGTCAACACCAGCCACATACACAACCTGCAGAAGGAGCTACATGAGCTAAGGCAGGACTTTCTCAGCCACCACCATCCACTCTACAGCACAGATCTACCAGACCCATCACAGCACAGCTCAACCAGACCCGGGCTATCACAGCACAGCTCAACCGGACCCGGTCTATCACAGCACAGCACTACTAGACCCGGCCCATCACAGCACAGCTCTACCAGACCAGGCCCACCTCAACTCAGCCCAGCTCTACAAAGCACTGACTACTACCCTAGGGTCTGGCAAAACACTGTTGAGGGTGGTGCGCCACATGATGCAGTCCACACCATTTATCATTCACATCATCAGCCCTCATGCTGAGAGTTTGAAGCTTCGCCAGTCACACTGCCCTCCACACCACGCTCCTCAATTCCTCCCACAACCTCCATCCCAGGCTAGTTTTGGTTGGGACACTCCTGCCCCCCATGGCAGCCCCAACCCTGCAAAAGGAGCCACACCAAGGCCTCCTGTGCACACCCAGAATGGAGCATTGGCAGCCACTCCGATCCCCTGCAGCAGCTCCACTGCTTTGGCGGGAGCTTCATCAGGGTGGACTGAGCTCTGCCAACACTGCTCTCCCAGGTCCCGCTCCAGCCCCTGCATCCAGCGACTTGAGGGAGGTCAAATGCTCAGTCTACTCTGCTCTCACGTGGTTGGCCAGGGACCTTGGCAAAGTCTCAGCTCGCTCAGCAAATAGCTGCAGATGACACTATTCCTGTTAGCTCTGATGGGAATGAGCTGAATACGCCCTCTGACTTTAAATCTCGTAGGGCTCCTGGTTGTAGATCTGACCATAAACCAGATTTTTTTTTATTTGTTCTTGGGATTTACCGCCCACCTACTGCCATGGCGGATGCTATTGGTGCTATATCCGAGTGTTTAACACTTTTTTGTCCTCTGAGTTGGTCATTCTAGGGGATTTGAATCTGGATTGGCTATCCCCGGCCTCAGATAAATTTAAGAGTATATGCATTGATTTTAATCTGACTCAATTGATCTCAAAACCCACACAGCTAAATGTGAAAAACCCTGTTAACCCATCATTGATTAATTTAATTTGTACTAATAACCCTCATAAATGTTTGTCTAGTGGAGTATTTGCATATGATCTCAGTGATCATCGTCCCATAGTATGTACTAATCCTTGTTTAATTAAGAAGATACGTTTTACAAGGTTTTCTCTTCAAGGGTTTTTACATGACATGTTCTACTGTGATTTAGCCACAACTCATGTATTCCTGACCCTGAGTTGGCTCTAGAACATTTCTTCTCCATATTTATTCCTCTGGCAGATAAACACGCCCCTTTTAAACAATTCTGACTGTAATGGACTGTCAATCTTTTAGACAATTGACAAACAGATGTACTATCTCGATTCAGAAAGCTAAATCAAGCTACTTTTTAAGCTCTATCTCTAACTCTGCTGGTGATCCTTCAACATTTTTGAAAACAGTAAATGCACTGAAGCGTACAAGTTCCTCTTCTCTGCCTAAGCAAGTTCTGTCTGACTCTGGCGTAATAACTGAGAAGAATGGAATAAGTGATGCTTTTCATCATCATTTTATCTCGGCAGGCTTTTTATTTGAGAGAAACAGTAGTTAAATTGATCCTGGTCAGTCAATCGACTGCTCTTCTCTCTGCCAGCCTCTAGCTGACTCAACGGTTAACTCGTCAACTTCTAGTGAATCTTTGTTTTCATTTAAACAATTTACTACATTGGGGAGAACAAGTATTTGATACACTGCTGATTTTGCAGGTTTTCCTACTTACAAAGCATGTAGAGGTCTGTCATTTTTATCATAGGTACACTTCAACTGTGAGAGACGGAATCTAAAACAAAAATCCAGAAAATCACATTGTATGATTTTTAAGTAATTAATTTGCACTTTATTGCATGACATAAGTATTTGATCACCTACCAACCAGTAAGCATTCCGGCTCTCACAGACCTGTTAGTTTTTCTTTAAGAAGCCCTACTGTTCTCCACTCATTACCTGTATTTACTGCACCTGTTTGAACTCATTACCTGTATAAAAGACACCTGTCCACACACTCAATCAAACAGACTCCAACCTCTCCACAATGGCCAAGACCAGAGAGCTGTGTAAGGACATCAGGGATAAAATTGTAGACCTGCACAAGGCTGGGATGGGCTACAGGACAATAGGCAAGCAGCTTGGTGAGAAGGCAACAACTGTTATTGTACAATTATTAGAAAATGGAAGAAGTTCAAGATGACGGTCAATCACCCTCGGTCTGGGGCTCCATGCAAGATCTCACCTCGTGGGGCATCAATGATCATGAGGAAGGTGAGGGATCAGCCCAGAACTACACGGCAGGACCTGGTCAATGACCTGAAGAGAGCTGGGACCACAGTCTCAAAGAAAACCATTAGTAACACACTACGCCGTCGTGGATTAAAATCCTGCAGCGCACGCAAGGTCCCCCTGCTCAAGCCAGCGCATGTCCAGGCCCATCTGAAGTTTGCCAATGACCATCTGGATGATCCAGAGGAGGAATGGGAGAAGGTCATGTGGTCTGATGAGACAAAAATATAGCTTTTTGGTCTAAACTCCACTCGCCGTGTTTGGAGGAAGAAGAAGGATGAGTACAACCCCAAGAACACCATCCCAACCGTGAAGCATGGAGGTGGAAACGTCATTCTTTGGGGATGCTTTTCTGCAAAGGGGACAGGACGACTGCACTGTATTGAGGGGAGGATGGATGGGGCCATGTATCACGAGATCTTGGCCAACAACCTCCTTCTCTCAGTAAGAGCATTGAAGATGGGTCATGGCTGGGTCTTCCAGCATGACAACGACTCGAAACACACAGCCAGGGCAACTAAGGAGTGGCTCCGTAAGAAGCATCTCAAGGTCCTGGAGTGGCCTAGCCAGTCTCCAGACCTGAACCCAATAGAAAATCTTTGGAGGGAGCTGAAAGTCCGTATTGCCCAGCGACAGCCCCGAAACCTGAAGGATCTGGAGAAGGTCTGTATGGAGGAGTGGGCCAAAATCCCTGCTGCAGTGTGTGCAAACCTGGTCAAGACCTACAGGAAACGTATGATCTCTGTAATTGCAAACAAAGGTTTCTGTACCAAATATTAAGTTCTGCTTTTCTGATGTATCAAATACTTATGTCATGCAATAAAATGCAAATTAATTACTTAAAAATCATACAATGTGATTTTCTGGATTTTTGTTTTAGATTCCGTCTCTCACAGTTGAAGTGTACCTATGATAAAAATTACAGACCTCTACATGCTTTGTAAGTAGGAAAACCTGCAAAATCGGCAGTGTATCAAATACTTGTTCTCCCCACTGTAGCTGTGATATGCTAGATGCCTTGATTAAGATTGATGTATTTGTATTTATTAGGGATCCCCATTAGCTGTAAAAAAAAAAAAGTTTTACAAATAAAATCAAATGGGGCTGATATGCTTGATCCATTTTTGCTGCAGCTCTCTGCCCCCCTGATTGCTGAATCATTAACCCATATTTTAACCTGACAATTATATCTGGTACTATCCCCAAGGTTTGGAAGGCGGCCCATGTACTCCCCCTTCACAAAGGTGGTGACCCTTGTGACCAAAATAATTATCGCCCCATTTCTAAACATTCTTGCCTTGCTAAAATGTTAGAATCCTTGATTCATTCTCAGATAAGATCTTTATTATCTTTGAAATGTATTCTAAATGTACATCAGTCGGGGTTTAGACCAGGTCATAGCACTATCTCTGCTGCATCCCTAGTTATAAAGGATGTGGTTAACTGTATGGATAAAAGGCAACATTGTGCTGCCCTCTTCATTGGCCTGTCAAAGGCTTTCGATACTGTTGATTCAGAGGCTTTCCTCAATTGGCCTAGACCAGGCTGCATGTAAATGGTTTAAAAATTACTGGACAGATAGAACTCAATGTGTATCTACTGATGGTGTTAAATCAGGTTTCCTGGATATTACAAAAGGTGTCCCGCAGGGGTCGATTCTGGGTCCTTTACTTTTTACTGTTTACATTAACATTATCGACTTGTCTGTAAAAAAAACTGTAACCTGCACTTGTATGCCGATGATACTGTTGTGTATGCTATTGCCCCCACAGTTGACTAGGCTCTATCTGAACTAGTCTGACTTCATTGTATTACAGAAAAACTTTACTGACCTGAAATTAGTACTGAATGCAGGTAAAACAAAGTATATGTTGTTCTCTAGAGCACATAAAAATAACTCTGATTTAAGCTTATGTACTTTGGATGGTGTCCATATGGATCGTGTCCGTGCTTACAAATATCTGGGCATCTGGATAGATGAAAAGCTGTCTTTTTAAAAGCATATTGATGAGTTAGTTAAGAAGCTGAGAATTAAAATGGGGCTTCTTCTATAGAAATAGGTCCTGCCTCTCGCTAAATAGTAGAAAGCAGATTATTCAGTCTACGTTCTGGCACTTCATTAAAGCTGCTAGATGCAGTTTATCATAGCGCACTGCACTTTATTACGGGCAACATTTTTGTTGGTTGGTTGGCCCTCTTTGATGTCACGTAGGTTGATACAAAGCTATGTTTTCATTTATAAACCCCTTTTACAAAAAGTCCCACTGTACCTAACATCTTTACTAAAATTTAGACATACGAGTTACCACACCCGGTCTCAGGGATGGGAAATTCCTTTGGTCTCTACTGAGTTAGGTAAGTCAGCGTTTAGTTTTCTTGCACCTTATTTGTGGAACAATCTTCAAAATCTTCTTAAATGTGATGTTTTGGTGCCTCTATGGTAATTCAGAAGGCTGATTGAGGACCTTATTACTGATGAATATGTTTATTCTTTATGACGATGTTGTTCTTTCTGCTTGCATTTTGTATTTATATTGATGTGTGTATTTTCTGTAATTTATGTAATTCCGGGCTCATCTGTTAAAGAGACCTTTGTCTCAGTATGACTCCCTGATAAAATAAAGTAAAAAGTCAACATGGGCCAGCATCCCACTGGACCGCTTTCAACACCTTGTAGAGTCCATGACCCGACGAATTTAGGCTTTTCTGAGGCCAAAAGGGGGGGTGCAACTCAATATTAGGAAGGCGATCCTAATGTTTGGTATACTCAGTGCACTTTAGAACCATGTGTTTGGCTACAGTATGTCTGAAAATGTTGGCTGTCAAGTCCTTGCTTCCTCCATCCTTGTTTCCTCGATTCCTCATCTCGCTCCCAAAGCTCATTTGAGGAGGGTGTCTGAGGGAGGAACCTTTAATCCTCTCCGATGTGCTTTGAGAGGGAGGTGAGGAATTGCACAAAGAAGGACAGAGGAAGTAGGTATTTAACACCTATTCAAGTTTTCAGACACAGCCTATGAGAGTGTTGACTGTCCTACTACAGTAGCTGTATGGACTGTGGAGATGGTCAGGTGTCACAGCGATCTATAGGCTTACCTTGAGTCCTGACACCAGGCCTTGTTGACCAGAAACGCCACGAAGATGACGAAGAGAAACGCGGCCACAGCTATGATGCCCGTCAGCCACTGGGGCAGTGCCCGCTCCACCTTATCTTAAAGAGTCAGGCCATAGACAGGTTAGCTAACAACGTCACGAAAACGATGCACACGCTTCAATGGGGCAGAAGTCTGTGTGTTGTTGTGATTCTGGATGACCAGATAGCTATCAACAATGACAAGAAGCTGCCATGTGGGGAATCGTAGGTGGCTCGTTTAGCTAGATTTATCTTGTTTTTGATACCATGTGTTTTGAGGTGTTTTGACTGATGTCATGTCTATGCTAATATGGCTAAAATTTGCTCATAGCGCAAATGTATTTGTTTTCAATAAACATTGGAGACAAAATATAGTTTCCATGTTGACAACAATCTAAGCCAACCCTGTCTGATTTGCCCCATAGTTGCGCACACGTCGGTTTTGTTGTTAAACTTCCAACCCTGCTTATATTCAATCTAGGCAAGGCCAGGTGCAATATGTCTGTCACTTGTCATTCTAATGTTCTGTAAAGTGATTTTCATTCTCTTGCGTTGTCATTCCAGTTGATGGGATTACTAACATGGTCCTGTCCGGACCGGCCGTCTTTTTTGTGTATTTTTGTGCAGTCCAGACCGGCCTTGATTTCAATGTCCACAGACATCCGGTTCGGACCGTTCTATATTTGGCCCAAACATAGTCTTCTGTAATTGGTTCAGATTTGGTCCGGTCCGGACCGGCCTTGATTTGGCCCAAATTTAGACGTCTATAATTGGTTCAGATTTGCACCAAATCTGAACCAATCATAGACATCTATGTTTCACAAGTTTGGACAGCACAGTAGAGCACAGCGGAGGACAGTGCAGTAAAGAAAAGTAGAGTACAGTACAATATAGTAGAGGAAAGTAAAGTATAGTGTACTGTATTGTACCCTACTTTACTCTAATGTACTCTACTTAACTGCTATACTCTACTGAATTAAACTTTACTGTATCTTACTGTACTCTACTGAATAAAACTCTACTGTACAGTACTCTACTGTGCTCTACTGACCTAAATGTTTAGACGTTTATGATTAGTCCAGATTTGGATCTGGTCCGCACCGACCAAATTTGCAACAAGCTCTGTCACACGTCAGAATTAGAAGTTCATCCATGTTTCTCAAACGTCACATTCTGAAGTGTTGAAGGTTAAGTTTTAGCACTAACTCCGAATTTTTAAGGTTAGGGTTAAGTTTAGGCATTTGCTCTGAAATGTTAAGGTTAGACATTAACTCTGAATGGTTAAGGTTTGGGATAGGCTAAAAACAATCATCTCAAAAGCAACTGGATTCAATCATGCAACCTTTGGCACCAGAAACGTACTTGAAGGTAACAGCGCTCATTGTTGCCCCAGTGGCCGGTATCCACGTCATCTCCCGGTGTCCTCAGACATGGATGGACGTCGAATACTGACTTGTATCATGGGTGATCTAGCTGCAAATGTGTACTTGTTTGGGGCAGAGCTCATTAGAATAAAACCCAGCATGCTTTGCAAGTGTTTGTTTTTACATTTATATTTTGGTCATTCAGCAGACGCTCTTTTCCAGAGCGACTTACAATCAGTGGATTAATCTAAGGTAGATAAAGAACTACATATCACAGTCATAGCAAGAAGAAAAAATTATGTAACCGTTACTGAGGATGTTATTGTTGTTGAAATGGTCTGTTGGTTTATTCTGTGGTCTTGACTACTATGAACATCATTACTGCCAGTTTTTGAAAAAGCTAACATAAGTACCTGTGACAGATGGGAGCAATAATAAATATTATGTTGCAATCTTCAGTTGGCTCCTCTTTCCTATATTAATAGGCTTGGGAAATTATTATTGTAATATAATGTTTGCTTACTTTGAGAATGTACAGTTTAAATTTGGCCATTGAATTAATGACAGAAAAATACGTATTTTCAACATCAGTAAATTAATTATTTTCAATGTCCGGAAAATACGTATTTTCGACATCCGGAAAATACGTATTTTCACCTTTCATTCAGCACTTAAAATGCTTAAAATTGCTTACTGGGAATTGACAAGAGGGAACGACTAAATATTAAGCCCATACATTCATTGTCAAATGTAAAAATGTTTAATACATTCATTGTCAAATGTTATTTTTTTAAAGAATGAATAGATCATTCTGGAATTTACTGTACAATACCAAAAAATGCCCACTGTTAGGGTATGAAATTACTGGTACATCTTTTATCCTTCCCACCCTATTATCAACAGTGAGTTGGAACAGCATGCAGAGTGACATAAAGGCAGCTATTTTCTTTATAGGGTACTATTAACTTCAAAATAACCATGAGTTTCAGTTCTCACCTATTTGAGCTGTGACTACTCCCAGAGTCAGCATCAACCAAAGAATCACAGTAGTCGCTCTACCCATTGTTGAGTCTTACTGAAAATCCCCAAATGTAGTTTTAGGATCACAAAATGGGCTTGGGAGCAGCTCTTCAAAATAGATGTGTGTTCTGAAAGGATTGTGTTTAGCATGTAGAGCACACACATTCTGGTGCTGTAGTCAGTGAATGATTTACCAATACCTGCTTAAACAAAACAATTGCTCATTCAGTAATAATAGCGATAACTTCTAAGGTTTTATTTGTTCATTTTGGGAACAGATTGACATTTGTAGGCCATCCATTAATTTATTCAGTAGAAATATTTAAACATTACTTATTGGACCTCTATCAGATGGCCAAATTCAGCTCCCTGTCCTACAAATATCAAATTGCAAAAAGAGAATAGTCATGTAGTAGGTTCACTTCAACACTTGATACAGATGATTTTCCACTATAGTGACCAGGAAATACAAGACTAATTAAACACATTTCAATAGCAGCGCAGTGAAAACACATGGAAACCTAGAGAATTTACAGTAATCTCTGAAGGACTTTGGCTTGGTGAGTGTTAAATCAGTCTCATGACTAAACTTTTAATATGTCACTGGTCTGGTTTAAAAAGTAATCTATTGAGCTCTGTTTTGCCTACTAAGGTGTTCCAAGATAAATGTGTAATAGCCTAAATTCAGGCTTAACTATTAATTCTAACATTATTTAGATCTGTATATAAGGATGATTTCTTAGTCTAAAAGTATAATCAAAAAGCTAAGGAGATCTTGACATGCACAAGCCTGATTGACATTGTGCAACAAGTTAGCTGACTTTGTACTAAAAGCTGGCATTCAGAAGAATCATACTTTTGTACTTTCAGTGTGCTACTAGCTATTGTAGCCAACATGGGTAAAGTTAGTGCAGTGGGCTTCACATAGGTGCATGTTGTTATTTTAGGCATGAGAGAGAAAGGGAGAAAGTGGAAATGAAAGATTGTTGATTAGCAGAGCAGAGAGGGAGAGGTTCTGCATGGTCAGGGGACACACCTCCTCTGGACTCCAGGGACACATGATGAGCATCTCTTTGTGGGTGTGTGTCCGTCCGTTAGTCTATCCGTCTGTCTCTCTGTCCGCCTGTCTTTACAGTGCATCAACACCAGGCTTTGTCCCAACCCCAGCACCAGCCAAATTAGCAGGCCCCTTTTCACTCAGCCCTGCCCCCTCATTAACAGCCTCCCTGCCCCTCTCGCTCTCTCTCGCTCTCTCTCTCTCACATACACATAGACACACACACACACACCTCAGGGGAGTAGGCAGGCTGTGATGTGTGGCCAGATAGCAGCCCTGAGAGCCAGTAGCAGTGGTTCTCCCCACTGTCCCGTTACCGGCTGAGAACCAGCCCTCTGCTCTGTTCTCTGGGGCCAGCACAACTCCCCTATGGCCCATCCCATCCAGCCCACCATCAACCACACACAGAGGGAGGGAGGAGGCCGTTAATTGATTTCTCTCCAGCCCTGTCTGTCTAGTTATCTCCAGCCATAAAGATATTTTATTATGTTATCTGTCTGTAACACTTGTCTTTGTTGGGAGGGTCCTTTGGAGATCTATCCTGGTTTGCGCCCCAAATGGAGCCCTAGTCCATTTACTGTATAGTGCACTAATCTGGTCAAAAGTAGAGCACTATGTTGGGAATAGGGTGTCATTTGGGATGCAGATCCGGTTTGCCGCCTGACTACTCTCTTCCCCTTGTGTTCTTATGGGAAACTGGGAGAAGGATTCTAAGAGTTAATTAAAAAGGGACAAGACCCGTTACACTGCAGTGTGCCTTTGCTGAGTTGAATAGTCTTGATTGAATCCATTATTTTCATGGATTATTTCATTATTTCAATGAAGGAAACTCACTCTCATACTCAATATGATGTAATAATATGAATGTGAAATTACATTTTATCTATGGATGGATAATTAATGTACACCAGAGTGTTTCTTGTTGATGTTCATATGTTGAAAGTCTCATTCTGAGTCTTAACCCGACAAAAAGCAGTACATAATTGGTAGATACTGTAAGTGTTGAACAGATCTATAATTTATATTGTTGGATCTCTGTTGACAAGTGTGTGTGTGTGTGTGTGTGTGTGTGTGTGTGTGTGTGTGTGTGTGTGTGTGTTTGAGTGGTTACCATGCTTGAAAGTATTCACTCCCCTTTTTTCACATAGCAGCATAACACACTTCACACTTTCATTTTATAAACCTGTCAAATACAGTATATATAGAGCTGTGTTTACCTTCCCTGGCATTTCACAGAGGGACACATTCCAGTTCTCCACTCCAAATTAAGTCAGGCTAATATTGTGTTCACAATTGCTGTAAATACACTGCTGATGTAATACCTTTATTACTTTCTTTACGGACGGTTCCCAGGACACAGATTAAACCTAGTCCTGGACCAAAAATGTATCTCAATGGAAAATCTCCATTGAAAGTGCATTTAAGTACAGGACCAGTTTTAATCTGGGTCCTTAGTGTGCAGTATGAGGTGAATGTAGTCCTACTTAATGAAGAAGCTAACAAAGATACTTTTTATGAATGAGTATACTGAGTGTACAAAACATTATGAACACCTTCCTAATATTGAGTTGCACCCCTTTTCGTCGGGGCATGGACTACAAGGTGTCAAACGTTCCACAGGGATGCTGGCCCATGTTGACTCCAATGCTTCCCACAGTTGTGTCAAGTTGGCTGGATGTCCTTTGGGTGGTGGACCATTCTTGATACACACGGGAAACTGTTGAGCGTAAAACGTAGCATAGACTGAGGTGGGAACTGGTGATGTGCCACCCCTTCATTCCCTATGGGACCAGTAACCTAACCTCACGGTCTCCGCTGATGGCTTTTTAATTGGCTGTGATCCTTATCCATCATCAGCTTCATCTCTCCACTCATAATAGAGTTGTAATCATGACATACTGCTCCCCAGTGCCCCCTCAAATAGCTTCTAGCTCCACTCTATCTCAATCTTATTAGTGGATAATAACAATAGTGGTCAATTCATATGGTGGGAACATGGAGGTTACATTGGACCCATTGCATCTCATCTGAAGAGGCATCTCGCCAGATCGATTGTGGCGTATGTCTGTGAATTCATTATTTAATGATGATGGTTGATGGTCATATTTAGGGATGGGAATTTGAAAATCTGGGAACTGTGCTAAAAATTGGTTGAAATTCCCATTGTTAATGGACAGTTACAGGGGCTGGGGTCAATTTCAAAAATACCCCCTAAATTCCCTTAATGAAGTTTCATCCTCATTCTATTTATCTCTATTTGAATCAAATTTGAAATAAATAAAACAAATTGAATTATTGGGCTTAGATTGTACCTGCCATAGCAATATCAACATGTTTTTGTTTACAAACTTCTGCTTATGCAGACATAGTCTACCTCTTATTAAAAAACTGGAAGCATCTACTGGTGAGGGGAGTTTACTACTTGTACAGTGTACTGTATTACTGTCATTTTCATAGACCCACATCTCTAATTGATGATTAAGAAATATTACATAGAAATTTGAATACACAATGAGCATAACAGTACAATTATTGTTGTTTTTTATCCCTATTTTTATTTTGTGGTATATACAATTCTGAGATATAACATTGCATATATTTATAGATGTCTCCATAACAACAAAGGTTATTTCTTACTAAATATCACATAAAAAATAATAACCCTTTTTTTGTTTAATACATCAAAGACTTAAAGGTACCATTTCTGGTTACTCAATAGTCTGCTGAAATAGCAGGCGTACATAATGTCTAATACAGTAGTAAAACACTTACTTGATTAATGTTATCAATAAAATAAAAAATTATAAACTCAATGTACCATGGTCACAATGAAAGAAACAGTACAAAAATGTCAAGTTTCATTGTTCAATACAAATGTACAAGTCTGTTTTTATGTACACTTGTACCTCTTACATTGCAAGATACAGAGATATTATAATGTTATTTTGCAGTTCTATTATTGGACAGGAATCATGCCCTCGTGTGTATGTGTCTGTCTGTCTCTGTGTCTCTCTCTCTCTCTCTCTCTCTCTGTGTCTCTATGTCGTGCGCATGTCATACTAATATGCCATCCATATTATGCCATCCAAAAATGGCAACAATTTGACCTCAATTCAATTTTGTATGGTAAATATTGTAACCATGTGGTTTATGTGAATATCACATTAACAAATACACTTTTAAACAGTTTGTTCTTCTCCCAACATAAACATTGACAGCAACACAGAGATCTCCCACTGTTTGTTTTTTTACCGATTATCGGTTATTATCAGTTATCTCACTGCAACACTATGTGTATGGGGATAAACTGTGTTATCCAACCACTTATGAGGTGATGTTCAAGAAAAACATTACTGGAATTCAGGTCGCAATACTATTATTTGATAACTCCAAACTTGAGTTACTAACATAACAAAAAATGGACATTAGAGGGCTCTGAGATGAAAACAAATCACTTAAATTTAGTACAGTCCGTAGTACTGTTTAAATCTCGTTTAAAGAGTCAAGCAGTGTACCTAAACAAATTTTGATCTCAGGCAAGAAAAGGTACCATTATGAGATTCATACCTTTTTTGGAAATTCCCTTAATTGTTTTTCAATATTATGTTCTGAGTTCCATTTTAGGTCTGTCATGACTTCCAATCCATCACCTGCTTACAACAGCAGTTGGGACAAAGCCTTATGTTCCACCAGCGAACATACCCACCTCTGGAAAAGCCAACAACAGACAGGGCCATTGAGGGAAACAGGAATTAGAGAAAGATCAAATCTGTACACAACACGAAATGTATCGCCATCGGAACCATCCTATTGACGCCCATTCACTCCTGGTTGGTAAAAAATTGCCAACCTCCTGCGTCTCACATTGTCTCTTTTCTTCTCCCCATAGAGAAAACGTAGAGTCATCTGTGGTTTCGTCCATCCATGTGGAGTCCAGAGTGATGATGGAGGCCTCTGGAGGTGGGCGTTCGAGACCCCACAGACAAGTCCTGGTCCTCGGTGTAGCTGTCGGGACTACCGTCCCCGTCCAGGAGACTCCCGCAACTGGAGTTGCTGGATGACAGCATCCCCTGGAGGAGCTCTTCCCGGACCAGGCTCTCCTCTCGGCCCTCGTGGGCCCGCGCCCCCACAACGCCAACGCCATCGCTGGCCTCCAACACACCTTCCTGGTCGTCCAGGAGCTTGGACAGGAAGTTGATGTACTTCATGGCCAATCGGAGGATCTCGTTCTTGGAGAGCTTCTTGTCGGGCGGGTGGGTGGGGATGAGCTGGCGAAGCTCGGCGAAGGCACCATTCACATTCTGCTGGCGCCAGCGCTCACGACTGTTGGTGAAAATTCGCCGCACGATTTTGGGCTGCGAGCCTGAGAGGGAGAGGAGGAGAGGGTGTTACATAGGTATTCTGATCATGTCTGATTATACACTGTATGCATACACCAGCAGATGTGTTAGAGTTGAGCTGGAACAAAAGCCTGCACTGCGGCCCTCCAGGACCTGACAGTGGCATACCGCAGTTTTGCGGGCCCCCCGCAAGCCCTGAACAATGACTTGTTATGAACCTGTTTATATGCTCTCTGGGGAAGGGGGGGAGGGACCTCCAGGGGGCCCCCAACCCCTCATAGCCACCAACTAAAATGTTACACAGTGTTTCTCTGTGTAAAGCAAACAATATACATTTGATTTCAGTCTTTTTCAGGAAATGACTCAACAATAGTGAGTCTTGAAGTAGTGCCTTAGCAACTCTACAAGTGGCCATACTAGCTGTCCTACTGATGCAGCTTTTCTCTTTAAAATGGCTAGTGTCCAGAACTCCCTTCACTCCTCTAACCCGGATAGATTGATGCTATATATACCAGTCCATTTTGCCAGAAATAGTGAAAAACCAAAGTTATATATATATATCGTTTTTAAGTTTTAAAAAATATTATATGATCTTACCATTACCATCGTTGATTTCAATCTCATAAGGCGCAGGTCGACGTTTGATCCGATGGCTGGGGTACATGCCATACTGTTCCATCTCGCCACCATAGCCACTGCAGGAAGATAGTGTGAATTAGTCAAATTACAAATTCCTTCTACAAATATATAGGCCTATATCCACTGGGCACAGACGTCAGTTCAACATCTAGTTTTGATTTATATTTGGTTGAGTTGTCAACTAACGTGAATTCAACGTGAAATCAACAAAACATGTCACCATGTCATTGGATTTAGGTAAAAAGTTGGGTGAAAAATATTACATTTTGCAAATCCAATGAGTTTTCCACGTTGATTCACCGTAATTTTTGGTTGAAATTATGTGGAAACAATGTTGATTCAACCAGTTTTTGTCCAGTGGGTATTTTAGGCTATATGTCGACTATTTTATTCTGGTGATTCTGTTGAATTAAATGATGACAGTTAGGCCTAATGTAGACAAAATTAAAGACATGATGGAAGACGCACTTTTATTGTAATACTAATAGGCCTAATAATAATATGATTAATAATGAAAACAAACTCTGAAAATTGAAATAGGGATGCACATTTCAGTCCTAAACATAGAATAGGCTACATCAATCAAAAGATGACAGATAAACAGTGCTTGCACTGACGCATGCCGCAAACTTTTCCAAAAAATTTCACATAATTATGACATAAATACATTTCCAAATGAATAGCTTGCCTTACCTGTTCATGGTGGCGAGCGGTTGAGCAAAGTTACTGTACAGCATCGCTCGTGCAGGGAGCGGGAACCCAGGTTGGCTCAACTGCACCATTCGAGTTTCGCTCAATAAGGGGTCCCGGGGAGGCGGTGGCAGGGGAATCGGCGGTCTACACAGCTCGGTTGTCTGTACCCTGTGATTGCCGTCTGCCGTCAGCTCGCTAGCTTTTATATCCACGAGCCCTCCTCTTCTGGCCAATTCGATAACAGGCACTTCCTTTTTTTGCTCGCTGTGGTACGCCGTTTCCTTGGTAACGGCATTAAAGAGGGTAGTCCTGTTGCAGTGCTCCCCTGGGACATGCTTCCTCTCAGCTGAGTCCGCTGACGCCGCCGTCGTGTTTTCCTGTGTCTCACCACCAGCTTCGCCCCCCTCCCTACTTACACGACCTGCTATGGAAGTAGTCAGGCTGTCATGATGTGGAGACTTGCATTCCTTGCCCATAGGACTGAGCTGCCCAAGTTCTGGTTTCAGTTTTTCCAACATTTCTGCGGTTATTGGATAGATTAGACCGTGCGTAAAAATGTCTCAAATTGTAAAAGTGCATTTGCTTAATGCTATCCACGGATGACTCCGCATCGAAACCTTCCCTCTCATCCGCCGATATTAATCCATGATGTCACCTGTAAAAAGAAAGCTTTTATGCTTTTTATGTATGAATCTAAAAAAAACAATCTAGCGAATAAAATATCAAAATGCAGACTGCGCGCGACACTGGAATGGCCCAGAGCTCTAAAATGGTAGGCCTACAGTCAATCCCGCACGCGACGAGTCATCAACCAATTTAGCAGGCAGACCTGTGTATTCTGCACGGTGCTCTCTCTGCACCTATGAGTGTGGGTGCATATACTGTCAATGTTTATAACTCTACGAACGCGCTGTTGCACTATTGCTTCCCTTGTCAATAAGGCTTTTATTCCAATGAACTGTTTGGACTGCACTCTTGCGGTCCATCACATCGGAAAGTCATATCACTTCATGGCTAATACTTTAGAGGATATTATCAGAGCCAATGCCTTGGTTTGTGATGTGATTTTTAAAAACAATTGTTGACCTATTTGTTTGCCTATTGGTTAACCAGGCTGCTGTTAACTGCCATGGCGGATATCAGTTCAGATAACGCACAGGCTTCAACAGAGAGGGGTCCTAATAATTTCCCAACATTATTGCTTCTGTCCAACGAACGTCGTGCGGTCAAACTGAAGCGTTATCTCTGCGTGGAAATCAATACAATTGATTGCCTTTCACTGTATCATTATCGTTATATACCATACTCATATTAATATCATTGCAATGATAACCTCTGTCACTCGAGGGCCTGTTTTTCCAATTGATTTAATAATTCTTCGTTCATTGATTTGTCTTTTTCATTTGGTTTTTATTAGATTATTTCTGTTCTTAGCCTACTTTGTTGCGTGAGCATAACTTAGTTTCAAAATAATTCGTTCCTTGCTCCTCAGTAAAGTTATTTCGTCCTGTGAAAAAATAACTGGTGTCGTTTTTTCACCACCACTAAGGGAATATTGTTTTGGCTATAGCTTGTAGCGCGCGTAAAATGTAATGGAATAGAGTGCGTTTTGCGTAGTTTAGGCCTATTTTAGGTTATTATTTATTAGCCTACTGTGGCTTTGAAAGCTTGAACCTTAATTGATCCACAGAATGTTATGCATCGCCAACCTTTTCATTCTATAAAATGTGTAGGTACACTAGGCCATCACACATTTGTACAAAAATAGAGTGGTAGGCTACATAATTTTCTGTTTCACAATAGCCTATGAAGATATAATAGCCTAACGCATAACTAACTTATATTTAAAATAGATTTGTTGTTCATTATTGCAGATTAAAATTATCACCCACAAATTATTCGTAGCCTATCGGCTAGCATTCCCTGCGTATTTAGGCTATTTTGTTCGATTAAATGAAAGCGTCGATAGACTGAGGACATTTTACTAAAAGGAACAAATATATGAATATATCGAATCTTTATACATTTTTCGTGTTCAATCCCATTTATTGGTAGATAAAACGAATGCTAATTCGATAGGCTAACTCATGTATTTGACTTTACCGAGAAAACAAATGTCAACCCGAAATAGGAACGACCAATGATAATCAATTTTCAAATTATCTATTTCCATTACCGAAAACATATCCACAAATCGACAACAACATATATGACTTGATAAGGCCTATTTGGGTGTGTTGTCCTTACCATAGCCAGAGTGTTGTTGATAGAGTAGCCTATGTGTGGAGCCATTTTGTCGAGGGTCATCCATGTCTAATGTTTTAGATTCACTGAAGTGCTGCGTGGAAGCTGGAAGTGAGGTCTATATAATTCCACATCACGCCCAGTGCGCTACTTAGTATGGGGAGCGAGCGGAACACAGGCGCAATGTGGTGAGGAGAGATAAGGGCGCGCAGTTGCGGCCACTCCATATTCGATAATCCCCTAAACCCATTATTTATTAAATGATTCATTATTATTTGGCTTTTTATCTTGGGCAAGCGCGAGGAAAAACTATTGCCTTATATTGTGAATGGATATGCACTGACATAGGCCTGGAGATGTTAAGGGATAAAAGTCGATGTTTAATACAGCAGGTGCATGCCTTGTAAAATGCTCCAAGTTTACATTTTAGTAATTTAGCAGACGTTCTTATCCAGAGCGACTTACAGTTAGTGAGTGCATACATCATTTTTTTATATACTGGCCCCCCGTGGGAATCGAACCCTCAACCCTAGCGTTGCAAACGCCATGCTCTGACAACTGAGCTACATCCCTGCCGGTCATTCCCTCCCCTACCCTGGGCCAATTGTGCGCTGCCCCATGGGTCTCCCGGTCGCGACAGAGCCTGGATTCGAACCAGGATCTCTAGTGGCACAGCTAGCACTGCGATGCAGTGCCTTAGACCACTGCGCCACTCGGGAGTCGAGTGTTCAAGAGCAATGGAGTCGAGATTTCAAGAGCAATGGAGCGTATTTAAATCATATCAGTTTGGATGTTGACTTGAGAAAAATACCATTAGGCATGTGTGGTTGTTTTGACTAATATTTTAACCTTTTATGAAGGAGAATAAATAAACAGCGTATTCTCAAGTTGTGATGAATGCATTTGAATCAATGAATGCGACATGTAAAATTAATATAATTGGGCTACTGAATGTATTTCTGATAGTTTTATTTTGTGCAACAATGATAATTAAGTAGGCTAATACTTTGTAATTTGGGTCAAACTCATATGTTAATGCATTTGACAACACTCAGAACACAATTATCTCCAGTTTCTTGGACCATTCAGATAGGCGTATTCAATATTCACACGAGAGAGGTTTGCATGAAAAACCAAACAACAGTGGACGCCAATATCAATTGAAACAGCACAGCCTATACCGGGTATAGTCGACATCACTGTTATGATGATCATTATTAGCCTGATTAGCTGCATGGCTATACAATGAAAGTCCTATAGCCTAAATTAAATAAACATAAACCCACATACGAGAAAAATAGGTAAATCCGCTAAATTATCAGAATCCTTTCATCCTCTCTTTGCTTTGTTCTTTTTGCATTGGATTGGATCGATCGCGGAGGGATGCCTTGAGGTACTATTAGGTGTAAAGCTTAAAGGACCACCTTGCAGACAGAGATAAGACGGCCTGCAGGTTCATCCGTCAGAGATGCAACGTTTGGTGCTATTTTAGGTCTACATGTCTCCTTTGTCCTTTAGGCCTACCAATTTCGATCCCATATTTCAAAGTATGTGGTTCTCAAAGACATGCCACAATTAAATCAATAATCATTTATCATTAGACCAAGGGACCAAAACACACATCTAAATGGCTAAATATATCCTATATGTGTGAGAACATTTGGAATATTTTTTTTCTAGCAGATTGGCTAATTAGCCTATGTCAGATATTCATAAGATTACTGACATTTAGGCCTGATGGTGGGAAAGGTGGAAAAAAGAGAACTGTTGAAATATTTCCTTTTGTCATTAATGTTCTTTGTCAACGCAGCTCGCTCTGTCACGATAGATATGGTCATTGCTCACGACCAACATCCTGTCAGTGAAGTCCAGCGACGACCATCGAGATCCTTACTAGAGGGGTTATGTCATAAACCCCCGAAGTTCCAGAATGGAGTGAAAATGGCAGCCATATTGGTCAGGGAGAAATCCAAACCAGTCTAATTGGAATGAAGGGCAGTAGAGGCATAATCCTGATTTTACTTATGCAGGAAAATAAAACAAAGGCATGTGATGTATCAGAAATTGTGTAATATAATTATTGTCAACCTAAAATATTGTCATAATGATAAATACAGTTTATACGAGTTGTATACATTTTTTAAAAATAAATAGCCTCTAAATATATGTAAACAGACCATACATTTAATATTTTTTATTTGAGAGCTGAGACTGCTATTATATGATCAAATATCAGAGCATACTTGTTGCATTTACAACTTGTCAAAGTCCTATGAACTACTAATTTCAGCCAGTGTATGCCTGTGGATTGACATCATTGTTTGAATGGAATGTTGTCAGTTAATTAGAAACATTGATGGAATAACTCTTCTAAAACAGGCTGGCTAGCTAGCTACAAACATAGATACATTCTTCAAATTCATTATTTTACACAATATCTTATCACAGCACTGGCAAACCATGGTTTACCAACTCTCTGACCAAAATGGCTGACATTTATCCCATCATAAGAAGGCTCATGGCCATTCTAGTAATCTAATTCCTAATTATATGGGGGCCACCTCCAGGCTAGGTTTTGAACCTTTTTTATATGTATATTTGTAATATACTAAAGACATACATGTAAAATGCATTTGTGGTGAATTTCTTCAAAGAAAATGTTATCTAGAATAGAAAATGTACAACATATCAACAATTCACTATGGGCAAGTCTGGAGAATATATATATATATATATATATATATATATATATATATATATATATATATATATATATATATATATATAAATTATAAGGATAACCACACGAAATTAGGTGAATGTAGATGCTTCTGAAGTAGAGAAAAATTAGTTGGCGTGTGGGAAATTGAATTTAAAGACAAGTACACTTAATTTAGACTACCAAAAGCCTATTTAGACCCAATCCCCATCCTTTCAAAGTAAGTTACTAAATAGACCAGTTTGTAACATTCTCTATGAAATGGGCTTTTAAATGATATGTAATTTAATGTAGTGAGCTTTAAAATTATTGATGTACAGTACCAGTCAAAAGTTTGGACACACCTACTCATTCCAGGGTTTTTCTTTATTTTTACTATTTTCTACATTGTAGAATAATAGTGAAGACATCAAAACTATGAAATAACACATATGGAATCATGTAGTAACCAAAAAAGTGTTAAACAAATCAAAATATATTTGAGATTTGAGATTCTTCAAATAGCCACCCTTTGCCTTGATGACAGCTTTGCACGCTCTTCACATTCTCTCAACCAGTTTCACCTGGAATGCTTTTCCAACAGTCTTGAAGGAGTTCCCACATATGCTGAGCACTTGTTGGCTGCTTTTCCTTCACTCAGGTCAAACGCCAGGTCATTTGATGCAGCACTCCATCACTCTCCTTCTTGGTAAAATAGCCCGGAGGTGTGTTGGGTCATTGTCCTGTTGAAAAACAAATGATAGACCCACTACACTACAGAGAACTACACATACAGAGATAATCCGTTCACCCACACCGCGTCTCACAAAGACACGGTGGTTGGAACCAATAATCTCCAATTTGGACTCCAGACCAAAGGACAAATTTCCACTGGTCTAATGTCCATTGCTTGTGTTTCTTGGCCCAAGCAGGTCTCTTCTTATTATTGGTGTCCTTTAGTAGTGGTTTCTTTGCAGCAATTCGACCATGAAGGCCTGATTCACACAGTCCCCTCTGAACAGTTGATGTTGAGATGTGTCTGTGACTTGAACTCTGTGAAGCATTTATTTGGGCTGCAATTTCTGAGGCTGGTAACTCTAATGAACTTATCCTCTGCAGCAGAGGTAACTCTGGGTCTTCTATTCCTGTGGCGGTCCTCATGAGAGCCAGTTTTTATCATAGCGCTTGATGGTTTTTATGACTGCACTTGAAGAAACGTTCAAAGACTGACCTTCATGTCTTAAAGTAATGATGGACAGTCATTTCTCTTTGCTTATTTGAGCTGTTCTTGCCATAATATGGACTTGGTGTTTTACCAAATAGGGTATATTCTGTATACAACACAACTGATTGGCTCAAACGCATTAAGAAGGAAAGAAATTCCACAAATTAACTTTTAAGAAGACACACCTATTAATTGAAATGTATTCCAGGTGACTACCTCATGAAACTGGTTGAGAGAATGTGCAAAGCTGTCATTTACATCTCAAATATAAAATATATTTTGATTTGTTTAACACTTTTTTGGTTACTACATGATTCCATATTCTTTGTGAAAATACTAATATTAATGGGCCTAAATACCAACAAATCTCAAAATTGATTAGTAGATGCAAAAAGGTCATTTTAGCCTGTGGTGCCTGGCCTTAAAGGGGAACTGCACCCACTGATTTGGCCTCGTTTTTTGGCTTGCTTCACAAGAAATGCTGGTGGCCATGACAAACGTCAAACGTGAGTTGGCTTGGGGATGTGGTTTGATGTGGGTGTTTCTTAATTTATGAAGATATTCTAAACTAAGTGTTTTGATACCCTTCAAATGTATCCTGAACAAAAATATAAACACAATATATAAAGTGCTGGTCCCATGTTTCATAAATTGAATTTAAAAATCCCAGAAATTTTACATACATACAAAAAGCTTATTTCTCTCAATTGTTTTGCACAAATTTGTTTACATCCCTGTTAGTGAGCATTTTATCCTTTGTCAAGATAATCCATCCACCTGACAGATGGGGCATATCAAGAAGCAGAATAAACAGCATGATCACCTTGTGCTGGGGACAATAAATGTGCAGTTTTGTCACACAGCACAATGCCACAGATGTCTCAAGTTTTGAGGGAGCGTGCAATTGGCATGCTGACTGCAGGAATGTCCACCAGAGCTGTTGTCAGAGAATTGAATGTTAATTTCTCTACCAACCGGCCTCACAACCGCAGACCACGTGTAACCACGCCAGCCCAGGACCTCCACATCCGGCTTCTTCACCTGCAAGATCGTCAGAGGGTGGTTGCTGGGGGTTGCTGAGGAATATTTCTGTCTGTAATAAATCCCTTTTGTGGGGAAAAACTCATTCTGATTGGCT